GAATTCGAGCAGCGTCATAACCTCAAACGTGCCTATTGCGACGGATGTGCATTCAACTTGCGCAGTAAATCTGGACAGCTCCTGAAGAAGCCTTGGTGTATTGTCACAACTGCATCCGTATGTATCAGTTTGTAAGCCAGCATAGATGCGATGCCCCGCACACCCACGGTGAGTCAATGGCTGGTAATGCAGCGCACACTGCTTACTACACGTCTGAATTCGCTGACATGGTGATGGAAGCTTGGTATCCACAGCAGTGGTATAAGACAGTCCCAAAGCTTGCAGCTGTAACCAAGTCACTCACACGTAAGGAATGGTTAAGTGACCCTAAAGCTTTGGAGGCTTTGCGGCAGGAAACTGTCGGACTCCGCGCGAACGCGACATGGGATGATTCGACAGTCACCACACTTCCAAAACTGAAGGCGCGGGCCCGCGCGATGGGTAAGCGCATCAAGGTGGCCGAACTGTTGACATTGGTCGGCATTAAACACTATGAACTGCATCCATCTGTTTAGAAGTATAAGGGCCGCGTAGTCTACAGGGGTGACCAGGTGCGCGATCAAGACAACAACCCGTTGCTCTTTGATCAAACCGCTACCACACCAACATCGCTGGTGGCGCTGAACGTTGCACTCTGGAACGCTTGCAGGAAGGGAAATGCGGCGTCATGTGCCGATGCCATTCAGGCCTTTTTGCAATCGGAACTGGACACTAGTGACCTGACTTATGTGATCACTCCAGTCGAAATGTGGCTGGATGAATGGCGCGCAATGTTTGAGCCCGGGTCCAAGTTGGTAGTTCAACTGCGCAAATCACTGTACGGTCACCCCCGTGCAGGTAGATGGTGGCAAGATCACCTAGACCTTCGTTTGCGTAACTTAGGTGCACAGGAACTGCCAATGTACCCCTCAAACTATATGATCCCATGGAAAGTAGGGAATCAGACCATAACCCTTCTCTTAAATGTGTATGTTGATGATCTGACCTTGTGCGGAGATCAACGATGTCACGCAGAGTTCTGGACGAAGCTCCGAGAGAGCGTGAAGCTAGAGCCAGAGCAGTACATCGTTGGCCAAGAAGGGACACTCATTCTTGGCAGAAAGCGCTATATGGAGGTCAAGGACGGCTGCGCAGAATGTGAGTTGGACATGAGGTCATATACAGATAGCATCGTAGACACGTATTGTGAGCTGACTGGCTTTGAAAGGAAGAGGTTCAGGCATGTGCCTTCACCTCACCTGCCGGAAGCATCAGCCACAGAGGAGGATCTCACACAGAGTGGAGAGCTTGAGAGGGATGCTGCGCGCATACTCATGCGATTCCTCTGGTTGTCCCGCCTCACGAGGCCAGACCTCTCCTTTATAGTCACACGACTTGCCAGTCGGGTTTCTTGTTGGAGTAGGTTTGAAGACAGGCAGCTTCACCGATGTGTGTCATATCTGAATTCTTCTCAAGAACTGATCCTGAAAGGTTCAGTCTCACATGATGAGAACTTCAGGTTGGATGTTTACACGGATGCCGATTTTGCAGGCTGCATGCACACCGTGAAGAGTACATCCGGTCTTTGGATTGAAATTTCTGGGTCCGGTTTGACTTTTCCTGTGTTTTGGCAGAGCAAACGACAATCCAGCGTCGCCCGCTCCACCACGGAAGCGGAGCTGATAGCAATGGCTAACGGTCTTTATGGAGAGGTATATAATTTGCAGTCGTTTGTGCAACAACTTGTAGGATCTTAGATTGAGGTGAAGTTCTTCCAGGACAATAGTGCTGTACTCCAGGTACTTGAAGCAGGGTACTCTGCTCGCCTGCGCCACTGCGGGCGTGTACACAAGGTGAACATTGCAGCGGTCTCGGAAGCCCTTCAGGATGAATCCGTCAATGCACAGCATTGCACTACACTTCAACAAAAGGCCAATAGCTTCACAAAGATTATCCCACCGAATGAGTGGAGCCTGACTTTGCAACAGTTATCTTTGCGTTACAAGGCATAGCCTTCGGGCATGAAATTGTCAGGTGCCAGTGCGGCTTGCCATCGTGGCACTGACCGGAAATTGTATCTAGGGCAGTGATTTTCCGAACAGCCAAGCCTCGAGGGGGGAGTTGAAGGCTTCCACATAAGGTGGCCCCCTCTACTAGAGGTACTGTACATAGGTAGCTCCACTTGGTTGTTCTCTAGACATCACTTGTCTTACCAAGGTGTATCACTCATTTTGGAAAACCGACTTTTGGCTCAAGCGCTGTCAAAACAGAGCGTTTACTCGTTACGTCGATCGGAGGCGTGTCGTCGTAACAACATTTTCTAATCTAATTCTAGCGTTTACGTAAATCGATCTTTACTTCTAGAGAGTGCGTGTTGTCTTTAAATGAAAGCGTTTGTATTACTTCTTCTTTGTATTCTTGAAGCTTACTGCCTCAAAATCACCCTCCCGCTCTCTAGAATGAAATCAGAATTGAATTAACTTCAATCTGTTTAAAATTAGAACATATGTTGAACATTAGCATAGAATTAGAACCGAATAATCGAATCAAATGTGCAAAATTAACACAGACTTACGCAAAATTAAGCATTGGAATTGACAGCCACTTTAAACATGAATTGTATAGGGTTCAAATTTGCATTAAACTGAACATTAACTGCACAGAAATTATGTAGAAAAGAAACTAAGTTTGAATTAGAACAATGTTCAATATTGAATTAGAATTTCGAGACAAGCTGAAAGTCAATCAATTATACCCAAATTTTGATTTGAATTGGGATTAACTAAGGTTGAACCCAAACTTCATTAGTAAAATTAGAAATTAATTAGAGTCGGAGTAGAATTGAATTAGAACTGTTCAGCCTACAGCTCGATCAGAATGAACTTTATATTTGCATTAGAACTCAGTTAGGATTGAATTTTAATTTAGTTGGAATTGAGTTAAAGCCAAATTACAGACTGAAAGTAAACAGAGATTAAAATCTAGCCTAAGTTAGAATTTTGTAAAGGTTTTCTAGCTAAGCAAACCAAAAGCTTATAGTTTTTGGTGGCCTTGGGGTCTGTAATTGTTTTAAAGTATGTTTTTGTTTTTGTTTTTTTAGAGGTGGCCTTGGGGTAAACGAACAAAGAAACAAAAGAACTGCCCAATTTTTCAAGCAAAGCAAACCTAAAGTAATAGTTCTCGGTGGCCTTGTGGTCTGGATTTTTCACCAAACAGTTTACTGTTGGGGTTCTATCTTAGAAAAAAAGAGCTGGCCACACTCACTGGCCGCGCCCCTGAACTCTGTGGGGCTCTGTGGCTGGGCTCTGTGTCCAGGCCTTGTCCTCCTCTTGTCCTCTGTGGCTGGGCTCTGTGTCCAGGCCTTGTCCTCCTCTTGTCCTTTCTGGCTGGGCTCTGTGGCTGGGCCTTGTCCTCTGTGGCTGGGCTCTGTGTCCAGGCCTTGTCCTCCTCTTGTCCTGTGTGGCTGGGCTCTGTGGCTGGGCCTTGTCCTCTGTGGCCTGGCTCTGTGTCCGGGTCTTGTCCTCCTCTTGTCCTTGTCTTGGCCGCGCCCCTGAACTCTGTGGCTGGTCTCTGTGGCCCGGCTTACTGGAGAGGAGTGTGGCCGAACAAATAGCGATGTCAATGCCGACAAAAATTCATTGATGAAGCAGTTTGCTCTTGGGATGAAGGTAATTGAGGCGTACCAAGAAATCACTTGTTGACTAATATTGGTCTAAGCGAATCGTTTTGAAGCTGTTTGGCGTTTGGGGTCTATGCTGGTATATTTTTTCTTTTTGTTTTGGTTGATTTCTATTTATGTTTTTTTGGTCTTGGGGGTAAACCAAAAAACAAGAAGACAAAAACACGAACACATATATTTTTAAACCAAACAAACCTAAAGTAATAATTCTTGGTGGCCTTGGGGTCTGGATTTTTGTTTTTTTTGTTTTGGTTGATGTCTATTTATGTTTTTCCTGGTCCTGGGGTAAGCAAAAAACTAAGAAACCAAAAAACAAACAACACAATTTTTAGCAGGGCAAACCTAAAGTAATATTTCTTGGTGGCCTTGGGGTCTGGATCTTTTTTGTTTTCCGTGGTCTTGGGGTAAACCAAAGAAACAACAACCAAGAAACCAAAAAAACAATAACACTAAGCCAAAGAAACTTAAAATAATAATTCTTGGTGGCCTTGGTCTGTTTTTGGGTTGGTAGCTATTTATGTTTTTCCTGGTGGAAACGTGTTTTCTGTTTTGTATGCTTTTCAACAGTTTTTTGATCAGGTACAGCCGTTGCAGTCATTGCAGATGTGCTAAGCAGACATCTAACCGTGGTTGCACAGGAATGAATGATATAGCCATTGCAGATGTTTCAGACAGAATGTATGTAAGTTTGATGAACAAGGGAACCCCAGGGATGATGAAAAACGCGCTCCCAGGGTGTCCCCTTGTGTAAAAAAACCTATCATAGCAACCCTCAGTGCGAGACTTTGCGCCTTTCTGCCTTCTATTTCCCCATGCCTGACAGCAGTTGGAGTGCACTGTCGACTTCACCCCATAACCACATTGATGTCTTCTTACGGAGGCTGGCTTTGGTCCCCCCTTCTCAGGTATGCAGTATGCAGTGATTTTGCACTTACTTCACTGAAAAAGTTGACGAATCTTGCATATGGAATGATTTTCTTAACGTTGGGGTGTTGTTCATTGGCTTGCCGGACTTGCGACTCCTTAACTTTTCTTTAGCTTCTGACGTGCCAGGAATGCTCTAATTTTTTCCTTTTGAAGATGTATGTATGCCCCTTCTCAAGCCAAATTCAAAGCCCCTGAAAACTCTTGACACATGCCTTAAACATCCTGCAAATATCAATGACATCTTACAAGAGGTGTATCAACCGTATTCTTTTTCTGGGGACCAACCGTTCATATTACGTCATATGACTCAGAAGACAATCGCAAAAAATTGACACCTCAGGAAATGTTCCAAAGGACACTGCTTTCAAAGACACTTCAGTTGACAATCGAACCTTTGGTTTCACCTATCTCTGAGGCACGACGCTTTCAGCTTGTGAGCGAGGGCGGGCTTGGGAGCACGCGCTGCAGGCTTTGTCCTCAGCGCTGTCGAGAGAAGAAAGAAGAAACAATAGAAACATAAAAAATGAGAAGAAGAGACAGACACAAAAAAGACAAAAACAAAACAAACAGCAAGATAGTCCCCTAACATCTAGTGTTGGCAACTGTTTTGATCATACGAAAGGGGTTCTTCAAAAGGCTTATCCCCTCCTCAGACATAAGAAACTTTGTTGAAGAACCTCGTGCTTGACATGCAACCTTGCATGTGCAGCCGCAGCGTACTAACTGGCTGACTACCCCACTGCCTCCATGGCCATCCCCCTCGAAAAGAAAGCGTCTATAAATGCAGAATAGATAAATATGTACAAGGAAAGTCGTGGGATGCTATTTTTTCGGCCGTGGGGTTCACATCGATCACTTGACTATTCTCACCTCAACACCATCCTTTTACTAGGACCTAGGACCTTTAAATACCATGGGAGAATTCGGAGATGGGGTATTTATGTGATGTGGATAAACACGTCGTTTTTTGCTTTTGCTTCTTCACGAACAAGTTGGCATTTCAGTCTATAATACACTCAAGCAGTTTTGACTGGTCAACACCCATACCTTGTTCAAAATGCTCAGTGCTTTCTACAGTCACACTTCTGCCAGGTATTTGCCAACATGAATGGCTGTGAGATTTCTCCAGATGTGGTGGTTTTCAATGCGACGCTCAGTGCGCTTGATGGGGGTTCCCGATGGGAGGAGGACCGGACGACAACGACATTCATGCATTTTTGGCGGCTTTAAGCTTTGTACTTGATATTTGTTGTTTGTTTGCTGTTGGCTTCCCTCTTTGAGAGGCTTTGACTTTGCTGGAAGAGATGAATGAGGCTAAAGTTGCCATGGGGAGAAGCATTTGGGAGTGATAGGAACTATCAACAGCAAGCAATGTACTGCCACTAGCTGCTCTTTGCAAATACAGCCTCAGCTTGACCTGGCAGATTAAGCTGAAGCGGACTCTTGCCACATATGGTTCTGCAATCAGAGCTTGTGGCAATGCCTTTCAATGGGAGGCTGGGAGGCCCATAGCAACGGACCGAAGGACAACGCACATTCGTCCAAACTCAGGAGGCAGTTGAGCTGATGAGATCGCTGCAAAATAGGCTCGCTACCAAGTGAAACAAGTGACAATGTGACATGACATTTGAGCAGTGCAGGGCACCAGTATGTCCACTATTGTTTGTACTGCGTCGTGCTTGGAGGCAGAAACCAAATCTCATCATTTTGAACCTGTGCCTAGATGCATGCCGCAAGGCAAGTAGCATTTTTGGATGTTTTTTGTTGCGATGTCCCGGACCAATGAATTTCGACAAACAACTTGCTTAAAGACATTTCTTTTAAAACAACTTTTGCATTGCCTTCTTTCTTGACGTGCAAGGCGCGAAACCTTCATGCTGCACTGAAGCTGTTCAATGACATGCAAATCGAGCTCTGCGCTTGGTGTGTTGCGTCAAGAACTGCCGTGAGTTGCACGCTTTCTTTCTTTTCACGCAGTTGAGGAAAAAAATCTGAATCACTGCATCAACACATGTGGTGGTCCAACAGGGGTCTCCCTGCCTCCGAGTCAATGTTGTGTGATTGAGCTGCGTGGTCTGCGTGGTGCAGGATTTTGGTCATCAACCGTAGGTCGACTTTGTCGGGGGATGCCCTTTTGGAGAAGTTTTCATTTAGATTTCAGACGACGCCAGATTATCATCTAGATTCATCTAGTAGTCCAAGGGTAGTTGACACATTCCTAGGTCAGAGCGACCGGACATGCTGAGCTACACTTCCCTGATATCCGCATGCACCTCGCAGCACGAATAGTGGCCTTCCAGCCATCCTCGTGTGACGAATGAGTAATTATTTGTGATCAAGGCGGATATGGGGCGGAGTGGCAACTTGCCATCCAGCTGCATGAGGCGGGACGGTAGCCTTATTTGTAGAGGCTTTCACTGTGATACAATAAATACGTCAATGGGCTTTACAGTTCAATTTCTTGGAATCTTTTCCGAAGCACTAGTCACTAGATTGAACAGCTTGGTCTGTTGCCTTGAGGATGCGCTGATGACAGGGCAACCTGATATTTTTTCTTTCAATGCTGTGCTTGGAGTGTGCCGGCAAGCAAGCCGATGGGAAGAGTCTCACAGGACCCGCTTGTTGATTGATCATTTCATTTCCCACTTTGATACGCTCCTCCGTGCAGGATTCTTGAAGGGCTGCTGCTCCATGGGCTTTCTCCAAGCATGCCAACGTACAAGGCAAGATTTCTTGAAGCCACCCAAGTCGCTCTTCTGCACTGAGTCGCTCTTCTACTCAGGCTTTGATTGCTGCTTGTGCTTACGCCATGCGATGGTCTGATGCATTGAGCCACTTGCGTGCCTTGCAGAAGTCCGATAGTTTGTACATTGGTGCAGCCCGCCGCTCGTTAGCAGAGTCAATTTTATCCTGATATTGATGCCCACTCTGCGACTTTTTGAATACTTTTTGTGGACGCTCGATGAGGTGGCAAAGAAGACCTCATCCTGCAATTCGGTATTGTCTCCAAAGCTTGTGCAGAGGCCTCTTGACTAGTTGTGCATTGATAGAAACTATACATATATATAATTCCAAGGGTCTCCCTCCTACTAGCGATAGCCTCCAACCTACTAGCGCTGGCCTCCCTCCTACTAGCGATGGCCTCCAACCTACTAGGGATGGCCTCCAACCGACTATATAGTGATGGCCTCCAACCCAATAGCAATGGCCTCCCTCCTACTAGCGATGGCCTCCAACCTACTAGCAATGGCGTCCAACCTACTAGCGATGGCCTCCAACCTACTTGAGATGGCCTCCAACCTACTAGCGATGGCCTCCAACCTACTGGCGCGGCCTCCCTCCTACTAGCGATGGCCTCCAACCTATTAGCGATGGCTTCCAACCTAATAGCAATGGCCTCCCTCCTACTAGTGATGGCCTCCAACCTACTAGCGATGGCCTCCAACCTGATTGTGCATTGATATTACTAGATGCGCGGGAAGCTATTTTTGGAGACTGCTGAGATGTTGCACTTGTGCCTGTGAGAGGCCGGTTTGGCCAGTCGCTCGCAAGCATTGGTTGATGAGGCTGTTGTGGCCATTTTGCACTCTTTGGAGTGGCATCACGGCATGACTGTGTTTTGGAGAAAGAGAGCCGAGAGAGAGAGAGAGAGAGAAGGCCGAATGAGATACATGCGAAGACAGTTTGACCTGCAAACAGGCCGAGTTTGCAGCAGCTGCGAAGGGTTTAGCAGGGAGATTACCAAGAGAGTGGCTAGGGCCCCAAGGCTGTAGTTTCGCCCTGGCTCTGGTGACAAGCATAAGGATCAGTGTTCTTCACTGGCAAGCAGCATTGGCCTACTTCCAAAGACTGAAGCAGGCACATGTTGCTTCAAATTGGGTTCGTTCTGAGCTTTGCGGCGAAGCTAGCAAGTAAACAGGCCATTGACAGAGATGACACGGAAGAGGGTGCCGCGCACTTGTGAGCATAATATATTTGATGAGAGTGTGTTTGTCTTTCCCTCCATGCAGCTCCCACTGTCCAAGGTGCAAGTCGTTGGATTAGCTGACCTTCTCCTTGATGCAGGGCAAGACACAGCTGCCATGAGCCTTTTGTTGGAAGCACAGGAGGCCATGGCTTGTGCTGCTTTCTTTTGTGCTGTTCTGATAGTTTCCGATAATGATCGATTTGAACCGACTTGCTCGAATCCGTTGCACCCAAAAGGCTCAGATCTTTTCTCTGTGGCAAAAGACAAAGAAGGCATTCCGGCAAGCATGCTTTGTTGTGCCTCTGCACCCTCTTCGGCTTTTGACAGGCTGACATCTTGGACTTACATTCTCTAGGACGGAGATCCTGAGATTCAGACGCTTCACTGCTTTAATGCAGTTTTGGCTAGTATTGGTACAGGCCCTGGTTCTTGCTCTGCCGCAGTAGCAGAAGCGGCTGTGAGCTTTCCTCTCGGATTCAACTTCTGCGATCCTTTTTGAGCTTGAAATAGGGCAAACGACATGTTGAGTGAAGCACAAAAGCCCAGGTGCAGCACTACTGCAACTGGCAGAGAAGCGGGCCTTTCGCGCAACACGTGGCTTTGTGTGTAGCCAAGATGCCAGCCGTGTACCAACATCTTTGTTTCGCTTGCATTGGCCTTGTGGCTGCAAGTTTACCCAAGTATGATTGGCTGGCATTCGAGGTTGTTGTTACTGGACGTGGACTAGGAAGCCTTCGAACAAGTCCGCTGTTGCTGCCAGCCATTTCGTAGCATGTGACACGTTTGCCAGCAGCATGAGCATGACTGGAACGAAAGTTCTTGCTCGAAGCTTGTCGTGCCTGAAAGCCAACGTGACAGGTCATTTCTCAGCCAGCTGGGACTTGATATTCGACAGGAGCTGTGCTTAATTCAGGATACTGCAGGTACTTGTAGCATCTTGTAGCCTCAAAGGGGGCGGCTGTCGACCTTCGAAGAGTGATCATTTGCTATGGCCTCCAACCTAATAGCGATGGCCTCCAAGCTGATCTTTCAACTATATACACCCTCCAATCAAAGATCCCACCCTGCGCACACTTGTTGATTAATCGGAAGGCCTTCCAGCTTGCCAATGGTCACTGTGCACTCGCCTACCTCTGGTAATATTGTCGTACTATCACTCCATCGTCGGGAAAGCCCAAGGCTTGCCAAGGCCTCCCAGTTGTACGTTTGATCATGTTTTATCCGCTCACTGGCTGCAGCCTGTAACTCTTAAGACTTGTCAGCTTGCCATTTGTTCCGTCAGCATTCGCACTGGGCAAGCCGGATGAGGTGTTTTGCGTTGTTTTACTTTGCATGCTTTTCTTGTCTCCCTTGTTTTCCTGGTCCTTTGCTATAATATTACATCTTGGATAATCTTGGTAACTTTAAGAGTTGCGCTTTCATAATACAACCAAACCCACTTATCATGGGGGCGAAAAGGATATCCTAGCATGCCATTGGCAAGTTTGGCAGCACCAGGCATGATGAGGGTTCTCCACTTTTCTAATACTGTATATATATATATACATATTTTGAGGCAAAACCCAACAGGCTTTCTTTGAACTTACAGTAATGACTTGGCCAAGGCCACGGGTTTTGTATTTGCCAGATGCCAAGTCTCAACTGACATTTACAGTATCACAAGAAAGGAATCTCTCAGCGAAAAGCACGCTGTTCCAGCTCATTTTATTTGAGGTGCCGCGAAGATCTTTGCACGACCTGTGGCAGGGTGTAAAAAGATCGAACGACCCTTTGTCATGTTGTTTTGTCAAAACAAACAGAGTCGTCAAAGTGGAGAGGTTTTTCTTATTGTTGCTAGCTGCTTACAAGGTTAGACCGTACTATGGAATTGAATGCGCTTGAAGAACATCAAAAATTATGAAACAAAACAGGCATATATACTGTAAATAAAAGAAACAATAAGTATAAGACACAAGGAGGCGTCAAAGCTTGTTTCCATTCTAAGATGATGGGCAGAATCGAAGGTAGTAATCACAAATAACATGAACCATAATGAACCTGTTTTATGTCAGAGATGGACACATGTTCCCTTTATATACACAGGTCACAGCTGAACAGCCACCCTCATCTCATCCCATCTCAGATCATCGCATTCGACCTTCGGTCTCGCTCCATCGAGTCGAAATGATTCTTCATCGAGTCCTGTCGAATACCGTCAAGCCTGTAGCTTCTTGCTCCTAGTAGTAGTGGCTTCCAACTTACTTGCGATGGCCTCCAACTAATAGCATCCTTCGCGTCAAAGCGCTTGAAGCTTTTTCGGATTGTGTCTTTGACATGTGTCTGGTGTCATCACCTCACCTGGTTTGAACGGATTTTGGCTCTCCTGTTTCGTCCCTTCTTTTGCGGTCACCTCCTCTTTGTGTGTATAGTGGCGTTGAACTGCAGCGGGAATCGGTCAGTCCTAACCAAGATGGGGCCACATATGGGTTCGGAGCAGCGCCAAAAGAGGAAAAAGATGAGGACCCGCTTTTTGTGTCGGCTCTGGCCCATCTCTGAATGCGGGACCAGAAGTAATGTCAAGACCGGATTAATAATCCCCCACATGGTAGGTAGGTCAACAAGGTCAAGAGGATATGAGATACCACTCATAAGGTCCACCCTGAATAATTAAGGTGAAATTAGGCATCAGGCGGACTGGTTTGTGCAGGGACATCAGCTGTTTTTTTTTTCACATTGGACTTGAGCAGCAAGCACAAAACGTGGAGGGCGTTTGATTTCACCCTCTCAGACTCTCAGCCCAAGTTCCTCTCATTTCAACATTTCAACAAATTTCGACCCACATCATATCATATCATCTCACCTCAATGTGTGTCGCAGCCACATCCTGCTGTTGCCTTTTCTCATTTTTTTTCCACTGACTGTGAAGTTCTCATAAATGAAAATTTTGCTATCAGGCTGGTGGAATAGAAACATGGGTTTTCTAAGGAGTGCCCATGAAATGGGTCTATGACCTCAAAGACTCTCAAAGTATTCAAGCTCAGATTCTCCGACTCTCTCCATGGGTGCCACGCCTAAGCTAAATGCCAGGAGCCCAAGATACACGTGCCAAGAATCCAGAGACATCCAGAGGCACCACAGATGTGATGTGCTTCGGAGGTTCGGGCTACGGCCAGCTCCACTTGGGCGATTGTGGGTGTGATTTTGCTTTTGCTTCCTGGATAGATTGGTTGTGTGGTTTTATTGAAGTTTCTTGCGACGGATTCCAACTCTTCCAGAAAAAGCACAGAGTAGAGAGCCTATAAGAGCCTCTAAGTAGGCCAGTTTCCTAGGTTGAATGGCGTTAGACGATGCGTCCCCGTGGCCTTGCAGCCCTTTACCCAAGGTGTGGAACTCAAAAGTGTGACTCCACAGAGTGGGCAGTCTCAAAACCTGTCACGCCACGTGTCTGCTTTGGCTCGCAGCAGGAACCAACAGTCTTTCGAGTTACTGGCGGTAGCAGTAGCAAGCGCTTGTACAGCATCAGGGGCGGATTTCTCAATACACTTGGTAGCATTTCTACAGAAATCTCTTGCAGTTGTTTTTGACACGCCGTTGTCCACAGTGCAGCATGAGTGCAAGTGACATGGAAGAACCAAACTTGCGGACAGCAATTGCTGCAAAGTTGGTCTCAGAGCTGTGGCTTTTGAGAGACGACGAGGACACGGAGCCTGAAACACATTCTGTCGGGAAGAACCTGCGCCAGGACTGGCAGAACAAATGAATGCAACTTTTTATCCCAAGAAAACATATGGAGTACATGGTTCTTGCCAGGTTAGTAACAATACCGCCATGATTGTTTGGGTACATTCTATGTTTGTGCAAAATGTTGGAGCCTCTTTCTGGGCATGAGAAGGATGCTGCGCATATGGGCTTTGGGGCTCGCAGAAATGTCACTGGCATTTCGCAGATGTTGAGCTCGACTCACCCCTTTGTGAAACCTTCGGTGAGCGAAGTCGATTTGGCCCAGACGGGAGAATTCGCATCTGTCGATGGAAAATCCAATACAGAGAGTCTGAGTATTCCTTCCACGCCAGCTTCAGCTCTCTCACGGCCAGAGTGTGCTTGCACACCTGCAGGGGAAGGAAAGCACCCAAAACACACTTCCAAGGTGTTTTGGCAGAAGTCAGATCTTATTGAGCGAGTTTCTGCCAAGGAACAAATTGTCAGGCATTCTTCAAGAAATGGCAAAGCAATGCAAAGTGAGCGCACTGGCAACAGCAGTCAGGCAAGAATGGTGAAGTGCGATGAAAGGCATACAATAAATCCAGGACAAAGAGTACAGAGATCATGTTCTTTGCCAAGCAGGCGTGCTCAAGACAAGTCTCCATCAACCAGAAAATCTGGAAGTGCTCAAAGACAAACTCCTGGAAGTACAAGAAGTCCAAGAAAGCACATCAGCGTTGGGGAGTCAGGAATCACGTGTGAGTGCCAGAGACAGATGCTAGAATGTATTTGAGAACCCTTTTACCTTTTAGGTTGGAAGTTAGCGTTGCCTTGCACTTCCCACTTCCTTTCAAAGTTCCCCTTTTGACTTTGAGCTGAAAGCCAAGGCTGCGTTTGGCACCTTCACCGGTTCCACATGGTGTGCATTTGGCTGAGAGAGAACGTTTAGCATCGGTGCAGTGTTCCCAATGTTCCGATGCTCGCCTTGCAGCTCTGACAAATGCAAGAGAATTACCATTTGCAGCACTGAGAGCAAGCCAAGCAAGTGGGCCGCGAAATGGGCGTGCTTGTCGCTTCTTTGGAGCAGAGAAGGACATTACTTTTGGGCCTGTGCCAGATGCAGGGCTCAAAGGGCTCCAGAAAATGGCCACGCCGCAGTTTGGCCGCCATTGTTTGCAGGCCTCTACTTCTACCTGCGATCCAAGGAGCTGACAGATGGGGGCCTTTTGCCAAAAAAGCGACACATGTGTGACTTTTGTTTTGAGCTTGGAGAAACTGTTGACTCGGCTCTCAACTGATTTACCTTCGTGACTGCGCAGGTTTAGGGCCTGCTGGTTGGTGTGCATATGTGCTTGGGCCGCTTTAGTTTGTACATATCAAGAAGCTCTTGCAGTGGCATGCAATGCAGATATAAGGTGCTGTCTGGTTTCTTCTTTATCTATGCAGAGGCCAGAACATGTTCGTGCACGCTGTTTCGTTATGCATGTATTGATTCATTGATATTCACTGTGCCGCGTTGCACCCTTTTCCTGCCTATGTCAAGTTCTATTCCTACAATCAGCAAGCTTGTCAGTCCATAGTTTTTCTGCTTTCGCCTGTCATGCTTTTCCCGAATGCGTAGCGAAGGGTTCTCGTTTAACTCTTGGGGGTCTGGGGGTCGACCCGTTGCTTCTATAATCGCAACCCTCCGCAACCGTCCGCAACCGTTCGCAACCGTCCGCAACCGTCCGCAAGCGTTCGCAACCGTTCGCAACCGTTCGCAGTAGAGCGCTAAGGCGCTGCCATTGGGGGAAGCTTTTGCAAGTGACTTTTCATGGATGTGTCACGTGTCAGTTTGCGCCGCTATTCCATTGTGATTTGCATGAAAATGAGATGTCGCGCAAGAAACGTGATGCGTTTCGCTGCACAGGCGCAGCGTTTTGTGAGATCGGCAGATTGCTGCGGAGTTCCATTGGGACTAGCGTTTGGAGAGAGTCGTGTTTTTGGGGTGTTGGATGTGGCTGTGCCATTGGGATTTGCGTTTCAGGGTGTGGCATCGAAGCTCTGTTTTCGTGACAAGTCTCAGCTGAAATGCCGATTTTGGTGGATGGGAGTGTGCTCAGAACGGGTCGAAATCATTCCAAACGTGTGGTGGGGTGCAAATTTTGTTGAAGCTCACATGCGACGACATTGTCACCTTTCGTGGCAGGCGCAGTACTTTGTGCGGCTTTTGAGGTGTGGAAGTGCGATTCTCGTGGCAGGCGCAGGGAATCGTGAGGTTGCGAGGTGTGGCGGAGGTGACATTTCGTGGCAGGCGCAGTACTTTGTGCGCGTTAGACGTGTGGACGCGGAAAGATTCGTGGCAGGCGCAGGGAATCGGGAGGTTGTGAGTTGTGGTAGAGGTGAATGTCGCTGTCACCGGTGCCGGTGCGCCACACGAGGATGGAGAGATCCGTGGAGTTGGTCACATTAGGATTGGCGTGTGAGCGGGTGTCGTTTGGAGGGGCTGGAATCGCGAAACTGCTTGGCAGGGCTGCGTGATGTGTGTGCTCCGATGGGTGTTTCCGCTGGACTTTTGGAGGAAGTCTCGTGCGAAACGTTCGTTTTGCAGACTTTGACATGTGAGTTTTTGATACAAAGCGCTCGTTTTGGGGACTTGACATGTGACTTTTGGAGGAAGTCTCGTACGAAACGCTCGTTTTGGAGACTTGACGTGTGATTTTTGGAGGAAGTCTCGTACGAAACGCTCGTTTTTGAGACTTGACGCGTGACTTTTGGAGGAAGTCTCGTACGAAAAGCTCGTCTTGCAGCCTCGCAGCGTGACTTTTGGAGGAAGTCTCGTACGAAGAGTGTGCCCTACAGGAGTGTCCCACAAGAGTGTCCTACAAGAGTGTCCCACGAGAGTGTCCTACAAGAGTATCCCACAAGAGTTTCCTACAAGAGTATCCCACAAGAGTGTTCCACAAGAGTGTCCCACAAGAGTCTCCTACAAGAGTGTCCCACAAGAGTGTCCCACAAGAGTGTCCCGTATGAGTGCCCCACAAGAGTGTCTGTCCCACAAGAGTGTCCTACAAGAGTGTCCCACAAGAGTGTCCCGTATGTCCCACAAGAGTGTCCCACAAGTGTGTCCCACAAGAGTGCGTGTCCCACAAGAGTGTCTCACAAGAGTTAAGAGTGTCCCACAAGAGTGTCCTATAAGAGTGTCCCACAAGAGTGTCCTACAAGAGTGTCCCACAAGAGTTTCCTACAAGAGTGTCCCACAAGAGTGTCCCACAAGAGTGTCCCACAAGAGTGTCCCACAAGAGTGTCCCACAAGAGTGTCCTGCAAGAGTGTCCCACAAGAGTGTCCCGCAAGAGTGTCCCAAATGAGTGTCCCACAGGAGGGTCCCACAAGAGTGTCCCGCAACAGTGTCCCGCAAGAGTGTCTCACAAGAGTGTCCCTTAAGAGTGTCCCACAAGAGTGTCCCGCAACAGTGTCCCACAAGAGTGTCCTACAAGAGTGTCCCACAAGAGCTTCCTACAAGAGTGTCCCACAAGAGTGCCCCACAAGAGTGTCCCACAAGAGTGTCCTACAGGAGTATCCCACAAGAGTGTCCTACAAGAGTGTCCCACAAGAGTTTCCTACAAGAGTGTCCCATAAGAGTGACCCACAAGAGTGTCCCACAAGAGTGTGCAACAAGAGTGTCCCGTAAGAGTGTCCCACAAGAGTGTCCTACAAGAGTGTCCCACAAGAGTGTCCTACAAGAGTGTCCCGTAAGAGTGTCTCACAAGAGTGTCCCACAAGAGTGTCCCGCAACCGTGTCCCACAAGAGTGTCTCACAAGAGTTAAGAGTGTCCCACAAGAGTGTCCTATAAGAGTGTCCCACAAGAGTGCCCCACAAGAGTGCCCTACAAGAGTGTCCCAAAAGAGTGTCCTACAAGAGTGTCCCACAAGAGTGTCCTACAAGAGTATCCCACAAGAGTTTCCTACAAGAGTGTCCTATAAGAGTGTCCTACAAGAGTGTCCCACAAGAGTTTCCTACTAGAGTGCCCCACAAGAGTGTCCCACAAGAGTGTCCCACAAGAGTGTCCCACAAGAGTGTCCCGTAAGAGTGTCCCACAAGAGTTTCCTACAAGAGTGACCCACAAGAGTGTACCTTAAGAGTGTCCCACAAGAGTGTCCCGCAACAGTGTCCCACAAGAGTGTCCCACAAGAGTGTCCCACAAGAGTTTCCTACAAGAGTGTCCCACAAGAGTGTCCCACAAGAGTATCCCACAAGAGTGTCCTACAGGAGTGTCCCACAAGAGTGTCCCACAAGAGCTTCCTGCAAGAGTGTCCCGCAAGAGTGTCCCACAAGAGTGCCCTACAAGAGTGTCCCACAAGAGTGTCCTACAAGAGTGTCCCACACGAGTTTCCTACAAGAGTGTCCCGCAACAGTGTCCCGCAAGAGTGTCTCACAAGAGTGTCCCTTAAGAGTGTCCCACAAGAGTGTCCCGCAACAGTGTCCCACAAGAGTGTCCTACAAGAGTGTCCCACAAGAGCTTCCTACAAGAGTGTCCCACAAGAGTGCCCCACAAGAGTGTCCCACAAGAGTGTCCTACAGGTGTATCCCACAAGAGTGTCCTACAAGAGTGTCCCACAAGAGTTTCCTACTAGAGTGTCCCACAAGAGTGTGCCACAAGAGTGTCCCACAAGAGTGTCCCACAAGAGTGTCCCGTAAGAGTGTCCCACAAGAGTTTCCTACAAGAGTGACCCACAAGAGTGTCCCACAAGAGTGTCCTACAAGAGTGTCATTTGGACATATGTAGCTTTCCGACTGTGGTTGCATTCGGGTTCGTGGGCTCCATCTTGTTTGCTTCTCTTTCATGCTGTGGTGCTCTGTTACAAAGTGTGGCAACTGTGGGCACTATGGGCACAGCCGTGTACTTGTGCAATCTCAGGGCTACCGTGGATTTCAGCAGAAGTTCTCTCCGTTGGTGGTGCGCCGAGCCCTGCTTCTTGACGGTCAACAACCGTTCCATCGACAGGTGCCTTGTAGCTTTTGACAAAACCTCTATATATACCTGGCAGATTCGCAAGCTGTTCAGATTTCCTTGCACTCCTTTCTTGCATTTGCGTGTAATTAAGGTGTTGGCGCCGGCATATGCAATGGCCTTCTTTCATGCGCACAAGAGACGCAAGGCCCAGACATGAAAGAACTCCGGGAGGCGTTTTTTGTGCACGTGTGCAGGCTGTGTCGTGGGGCCTGATCATGGGCATCATGCTGATTGTCGCCCTTGCCAATCCCCAAGAGCAGTGTTTCAGATTTGTCCGCTGAAAAATTACCAATTCCTTTTGGATCCTTTCAGTGCTTTGCATCACTTCGAGGTCAAGCGCATGCCATATCCATACCGCGCTATTCTGGATGCTGGTGTGTGCGCAGGCCTCTCCTGGGGCATGGGTGTCAGCCTTGGTCAAGAACTCCGAGCAATGTAAAGCTCATGCCTGGAGGGACTTGTGTTCTAGAGAGCCTTCCACGCCCTCAGCTGAGCCTCAGGTGCCACTTTGTTCATCTATGCAAAGTCCATTTCAACAGGAAAAGCACCGGACATTGATCCGCTCCATCCTCAGTTGTTTCAATACATACTGTGACATACTGCGGTGATTCCAAGAAACTTTCGGCAAGGTGCCTGCCTCAAGAGCCATAGTGATAAAGCAAAGTTGCTCGGAGCCACAATGCAATTTGTGATCCTCGCGGTGAGAGGGGGGGTAGAGGACGCTACTAGGACCAGGACCTTACTATATAGGAGCAAAGGGCATCGCTACTAGGAACAAGGACGCTACTAGGGGCTCCTGGCCTTACTACTAGGAGCAAGGACGCTACTAGGAGCTTTTGTGCATGTTGTTCAAGTGAACTTTAATGGGCCGGATCGTCGTATGTCTAGATTTGTATTTAAGCTAAGTATACGACTTGACTGGGTTAGTCACGAACAAGACCTCCTGGTGATTTCATGCTTTCCCGGCGTGTGGTTTTCTGCTCAAGTTTTCATGTGCTTCGTGTGGTGTTCACTTCCCAAGTTCACAGCTTTGAGACCTAAAGGGCTGTATGAAATGCTCTGCATTGCTCTGCCGTGTTCGCACGCCCTCCATGTTATAATGATTGTCCATGCTGGAAGGTAAAACCTAATTTGAGCTGAACTGAGGAGCGAGCGAGCTGAGTTGAAAGACACACAGACTGACTACCAGCTATTGCGCTAGTCGTTGATGCAAGTGCTGCATCTTGCTACAAGCGCCGTGCTCCCAAACTTTTTAATGCTGTCGCACAAGCCGCCCTGTGAATCCAGGGAGCACCATGCAGTGTGGTTGTGGCTATGAACAGGCTTGAACAGCCACTCTGTGCCACTCTGCTTCGTTCAAAACAGCAATTTCATTTGGCCGAAGCGCCGAAAATGGTCTGGTATCAATTTGGTACATTAGGCCAAGATCTTGGGTTTCCTCGTTAGTGGAAAAAGTGAGCTCTCACATTTGTCGGCCGCTGAGCCTATTTTCTCTGTTCTGCATACATGAGTACTTTTGAATCCAGCCCTAAGTTTGAGGCAAATAAAATGAGATGAAGGGACCCCCCCGCAGTGTAAAACGATTGGTACACATGCAATTCCTGACACTTACAGTTGCAGTTATTCTGTTTGAGATTCAGTAAACCAGGAGCGAAACTTGAGTCAAATGGCCATACAATCTCTGCCATACTGTAAATTATAGAAACGCATGATGCATTGCGTAATTTGGCTCCCTTATTATGGATTTAAAAAGGGCTTGATCGCCATGCGGCCATAGTCACCACCATAGTCACTAGTATCTCAGTTGGACTGGTCACCGATCACCAGTGTTTTTTTTCTTTGAAGGGAAGGGAGTCTTGGGCATTTCAATTCATTTAAATCTTTGATTGCTTGTCCTCCAGCGGTTCAGCTTGAGCTGAGTTGAATACTACCAGAGAGACCTAGATTCTATAGATCACTTCAACTCAGGTTTACTGTTTACTTGTCAAAGGACAATTACATAAACTTGGTCAACAGCGACTCTTTTGGACTTGATGATGTTTTTGCACATAGACGGTTGCACACACACATACACCATCTTAATATCCTTGGGGACGGAACACAGCAACGATGAAAGCGCCTCCGAGAGCGTCGCCGAACACCTCAAGTTTCGGCGAGCTGAAATCTCAGTGGAAGTGCAGCGAGTGAAGTTTCCTAAAAATCTAAACACCACATCATTAGTGAGCGCTTCTTCAAGGAAGCTTCCTTGAAAAAGCGTGAGCTATCCTGCGTCCATACTAGTAGCTTACTTGTAGGTACTAGCGACTCCCTAGCTTCTAGCTACCTACCTAGCTACTACCCCTACAAAAAAGAGATGGTGAAAACGAAGTGACTGAAGTGGCTGAAACTGAAGTGCACCAAGTGACTGAGACTGTACCTGCAGTACCATGACATCATCGGAGTGGCCATGCCCATTTTCCTTTTCTTCGGTCTTCTTATTGTGCCGCTTGCAATGTTTGTACCTTCTACATCCATTTGCGCAAGTATATCTATCGTGCACCGCAAACTCTTTAATTACGAAGACCTCCCGGTCAATCAAGGAATCTCAGCTAGGTTCTCTGCAGGAGATGTCTTTAGCTTTTGAGAGTTGGTAGCAAGCCAGGACTCTTGCATTAGAGTCATTAGAGGCTTTCTGGCAGAACAAGTTGCATTACGTCGAGTTGTTACCTGCTGCCAGATGTCCTGCTTCCAGAAGAAGAGTGCAAAAATGCCAGGCCCATATAGGCCAGAATGATGCATTTTCCTTTAAATTCTTTCTTTGTAGTGAAGCAGTCAAGCAAGAGTAAAACAATGCTTTACTTTTGTACCATCCCAGTACCTCAAAAGCAGCTTGGCAGGGATCGTGACTTTCTTCATCAGCAAGATTTGGTCGATTCCGAGGTGAGGATCGAAGATCGGCGATTTGCTATCAACTAGGAAGGATTTGATATCAAAGTTTAAAACAATGCCTTTGGCCACTGCCCAGATCCGAAGACACCATTTGGACTTCAATGAGCACCTCCACAGCCGTTTTGAGGGACAGCGCTTTCTCCAGGCACAAAATGATCCATCCCGTTTGATTATTAGAATCAGAGTTTACTTTGATGATTGAATACTATGAGGTGAAAGGAGAGTATGGCTGCTACATTGCCTTCAACTACACCACATGTAAGGAGGCGATGGACGAAAGAATCTCAATGAGACGAAGAGAGACTTTTATGATTTTATTATCCTTACCGACCCCAAAGAAAGATAAGCTCAGCCCGATCACACTACCGTGCCTTCGAAGCCCAATCAAAAGTGGTGTCAACTGTCAAAATGCCACATAGACTCAGAAGGACAGCTTGGGCAATGATACTCAACAAAGGCAGGCTATTTCACGAAAGCCAGCCGTAGGCCTAGGCTTGGCTTAGCTTTTGATGCGAAGGACGTAAGATAGGGGGTTGTAGGGGGAGAGGCCTAACGAAATATCGTGAAGAAAAGCGGTGTCGGAGGGTTGAAAAGCGGCGACTTTTTTTTGTCTTCGTGATGTTGATGATGCTGTGACTGGTGGTTGGATTCATGAGTCCTGAATAGCTATGCAGGTGGATGGATGGATGGACGGACGGACGGACGGATGGATGGATGGATGTTCTTTTTTAGAGTTGAGGTTGCAGGTTTGTGGGTCGTGTTGGCCGGTTCTAGGCTGCTGGTGTGTTCGTCATGAGCGTCCTTGTGTGTTCGTCCCAGTCATCTCCACGGCCTTGTCTATGGTGGTGCTCTCATCTGGGATGAGAGGGTCATTCTGGTCCTCTTTGGGGAAAAGTTCCTGGGCCTGGGGCCCCGTAAAGATGCCGGAGGACTTGGAGATGGATTCACGAAGAAAGTGCGGATGCTGGGACTTGATTTGGCTGCTGCCCCTGTGCAGGCCTTTTGGCAGGAAATCTTTCGGCCAAGCTGCGTGTCATGTCCAACCGTAAGCCCATCAAAGGCTTGGTTGATGCAGGTGCCATTCACAAAAGGCTGGAAGATAGCCTCATTGGATCTTTTGAGGATGGCATCACGACCCTGTCGACAAAAAAAATTGTAATTATAGCCTGTATAGTGATGCGCTTAACCTCGACTCCAAGTCCGTCGGGTTCCAGCGCGGCTCTACCTCGACCTCACCTTGTGAATCGAATCCGCTGAACGAAGCATGCTTTTGTTGGAGAAAGTTCAGACTACTTCAGGAGCCTCATGAGCAACTCCTTTGTTGTTGTGCTTAACAATTGGGTTGGCTCCGGGGTGCCGATGAACCAGAGTTCTGCTGCAAGCAAAGAAACGCAGCAGATTCTTGCAGAAGTTGCGGACATTTTGTGGGCCGTTGCCTTGTCGCTTGGAAGGTGCTGGTCCCTATGTTGGTGCGGAGCGGCGTTCTGGGCATTGGTTCTGGCTGCGTACCTATGCTTTAATGAATGATTTGATTTAAAAGACTCTGCTGGTTGGTCATTAAGGGCGGCGCAATACTGAAATCTGCAAGGGTGCTTTCTTTTTTCTACCCACCCCCCCAAAACAAGATGTGATTTCTCATCAATGCCCACCGGATTGGAAGGAAACAGGATATACATTGGGAATCACAGAAACTGGTAAAATGAGCACTGCTAAACGTTCGGTTTCCGACCCGGTAGCAAAACATGAAAGAACATAGTTGCCTTATGTTGCCTTCCCTTTGCCTCTTTCCTCACAAGGGATCAGTCATCCCACGGTCTTGTTGCAGCAAACTGCCACACTTTGCAGGTGATGAATGACCACTCATCCTTTAGCTCCAATCCTTTTCCAGATGGCCGCTTGGTGGCGCTGAACACAATGTCAAAGGACAGCCGTTCTGCTGAAGAAAATGACCACTTCATCACCACATACGGCCAACGTTTTTGGCCGACGCACTCTCCATTGGTCCATCGCAGGCAGATCACACCCGGGTGCTACGCTATGTGCACAAGCACTACACGCAGGACGTGGCTAAGAATTCTGTCCACCAGCATGCCGTCGAGCATTTGTGCATGTCGAGTAATGTGAGTTCCCTGAGTCCTAAGTTTCCTACTGTTGGATTATATAGTGTTCTTCGTTGAGTTTGGAAACCGCGGTTGATGCTAGCAGTTATTGCAGTGGCAGAAGGGATACTGTACAAATAGGGAGCCCACACAAATAGGGATCAAATGGATTCAAGTCACGCGTCTTGTGTTTCAAAAGTCAAGCCAAGACTGCCCAAACAGACACGAGCTACGCAGATAGATGTTAGATGGTACATTGCCAGGAGGATATTTTTAAGTGTTCGCGCAAGTTTGAGCTGCAGGGTAAACCAAGCAGGATGAATGGCGGTTCAAGTAAAAGCGACATCAGGGGCCAGGGGTAGCATCGATTTGGGATTGCTGGCCATGCTTTGCAAGACCAGATGTGCCGAAGTGAGACGCGGACTCGACTGTTTCTCACAATCCTACACTTGTATGAAGTTCACGTTGCTCCAGGATGCTTTGGAAGATCTGCGCGGTCATATCCAAGAGGTGAGGCGAAAGCTCACAAGTGCTAAGGCAATCTTGACACACCTACCAGACCCATCTAGTGCTCAGAGAAGCGCTACTTCTTGCTTTCATGAACTTTTAAGTATGATATAGAATTCTTAGTAAACTCATAGTGTCCACTGTCCACATTCCGATTCACAGGTCATCCAGCAATGCACAGCTGATTTGGCTTCTGGAAAGGCCAAGTGATAAGAGTCTAGAGTCTGTTCTAGTCTTCTAGTCATTTTGGTATACCATTACCTTCAGGAACTATATTGTGCGTCGAGTCCTGATCCAGCACAGGTTGATGGTGTTCAATGGGCAAAGCGAATACACATGGCGCCTTGACTAAAACATGTGTGGATGCGTTTTGACAAAATACAAGCCCATGCACCGAAAAGTAATTACTCACGCCAATTCAATCGCTTGTAGCGATCCTTGCACTGAGTCTGGAACTCTAGCACGCTTGGGAGTCAAGCTTGGGTGGGAGAAGATCGATGAGGTGGGTTTCGCCGGTTTTGCCTTTAACCTCTGGTTCGTTGATGTTCATTTGATATTGACCCGCCGAACCGAGTAAACACTAAAGACCATGACAAGACCGTGGAGCCTGAAGCCAGCCGTCCGACAGATCGTGATGTTGAACGACGCAATGGTGGCCTTGGTGGCTCCCCTTGGAGGAGTTGGCCAGACACTTTGCTTCGGCTAAGGGCAACTTGGGACCATTGGCCCAAAACGCTCTCAGGGCTTTTTGCTGAGGATTGCCCAATGAAACACTGCCCTGGACCTGGTTGCTACAACTTGCTTTAGGCGAGGCTGCACATTCAACAGCGCGGCTTACTTCTTTGCACTCTTGTCTTGACAAAGCATGCAGGCCTGATCGCAAGCATTCCTTCGATGTTGCAGATGGCCGGATGCTTTGCGGACGAAATAGAAAGCATGAAAATAATCAGAAAATGAACATGAGTTTGAAGGTTTGCAAGCTTGGTATGCGTTGCTCCTGGCAGATAATCAGGCACACGTACTGCCGTGTTTCTTTTTTTCTTTACGCAATTTTCTACTCAGACAGACCTGGTCCTCTAAGAGCCTCTTCGACTTCCAATGGTTTTTGCGAGGCCTGATGTCACGATCCTGAACCCACCGCGAAAACCAAGAATGGGTCAAGTGGCTTAGTCACCTGCACAGCGCTGGGCAAGATGTGGCGAGCACATGCTGCTATGCAACCTTCACCGTGTTGCATCAACAAATTTTGGTTTTGCAAGGAGTTTGCGGATTGCAAACAATGTGTCCACAATGCATTTCATTAGCCAAAATGGCCTGCCATTTTGGCTCAAGGATCAGCCCCTGATCCATCAAAGATCGAACTCTTGCGAACTTTTGCGACTTTCGCTTTTCGCTCTTTTCTGACTTTCGCCGCCATGGCTGAACTTTTCGACTTCGAGCTTTTGGACTCTGCGGAGGATTTTGTGATCCTGGGAGAGGATCCCATGGAGCAGGAGGTGGCAGCCGCTGAGACTGCCCAGATTGCAGCTGATCAAGATGAGATGGCCATTTTGGCCGACTACGTGATCCCCGTGACCTGGAGCGGGACTTGGAGCGATGGTGAGTGGCATCACCTCTCTCTCCTTGCGGAGGCCCCTGCTGGACTTGCGAGCCCTACCTCGGCTCCTCCTCCTACGGCATCTTCCGTGGTGGCTGAGGATCCAACGGCGGTGCCAAGCAGCCGCAAACGCCCCTTGGATCAGGCGGACGACGCGGGAGTCCCGGCAGGTGCCCCTGGCCCTGATACTGGGATTCCGTCAGTGAGTCCCTCTGAAACTGGTGCCTTGGATGGGGGTGACCATTCGCGAGACTCGGCAGGTGCTTCACGCCCTGATACCGAGACTCAACAGGATGTGTCATCCTCCCCTGTACCGGCCTCAGGGGCTTTGTCGCTGCTGGGCAAGCAGCTGCCGCCGGTGCCTTCCTCGACCTTGCGGACGAGCCTGGACACTGAGGTACCGATGGAGCAGCGCTTGCAGGATCCTGTGACCTACTCCTTCGCCCAGGACGGGAACATCCTTCTGACCAATGTCATGGCTGGCCTTCCCTGCCTCCCAAAGAAACTGGCGCAGCCGCTGCGGAGCATCCAGGTGGGGGAGATCGTTGAGCTTTGCCTCAAGTTCGACGTGAACAAGCTCACCCCGCCGGCCTTTGCTCGCATTGTCGAGGTCTATGCCATCGCCAAGGCCAAGCACTTGGCGCAGGAGATTTGGGAGGCCAAGCACTTGCCCAAAGGGGCGCGCTCCATGGAGAAGCTGACGGCCCTCCCGGAGGTGGAGGACAAGCTGCCCTACATGTGCGCCAGCTGCTTCACGAGCTGGATCTTGCCGCCAGACACAGCCGTAGAGTGGACCGTACCACTCGCAGTCGCCCGAGTCGTAGGGAAAGCCTCTGGTACCGGCTTTTTACTTTGGAGACGGGACGGACGTGACTTTGTGTGACCTTGGTTTTTCGCTTTTTGATCTCGGACTTCGGACCTTGTGCTCGTTCCGCAGCCATTTGAGGGTTTTGGGCGCTGGCGCTCAACTGCTGGCGGTTGGGCTGCGCCTCCGGTGTGGACGGCTCCCCAGCCTGGCTTCATGGAGCTTCAGCACTATGCCACGAAGCCCCCCTGCACGAGGACCTACCTCACGGTCCCCTCCCACGCGCAGGATACCCTCAGACGAAATGGACTCTCGCCCGTCCAGGCAGACGGGGAATGTCTGACCGCCCTGATCATGGCGGCTCACTACGGGCCATCCGAGGAGGCGGAATTGCCCATGGGATTGTTTGAACCCTTTCTAGTGATTGACCCTGCACAGACACCGACCGGAGTGGTGAGCGCCGGGTTTCTGCACTGGAGTGCGGTGCGGCGGGGATTCCCTACAAGGTGCTCCGAGCCCTGATCAGGGGGGAATCCCCCTGCTGGACCAGTTCATCCTGGGAGTGGTCCGCTTCCAGGTGGCGTGCAGCGCGAGGTTCAATGACCTCCAACATACCTCGACTAGTAGCCTGCAGATCAGTTCCTCCACCATTGAACTCAGTGCATGGCAGACCAAGACAGTGTCCGCCTTCAAGATGAAGAAGTCCCCAGTTCCTCTCATTGCGCCCAAGTATTCCTTCACAGGCCACGACTGGTGGACCCCACTCACTATCACGTGGCGCAAGATGCACGCACTTGAGGCCTTTGTGGACTCGGACTACCTGATCCCCACCTTGAGCAAGGATGGCCTGGGCCTGATTCCTCGACCCTCCTCACCAGACCGGGCGCTCCGATGGCTTAAGGCAGCACTGGGACGGCGAGGCCTACGGGGCCCACAAGTGGAGAAACTCTCTTGGCACTCCTTCCGGGTCTTCATCCCTGATTGCGCCTTCCAGTTGCACATTCCTCGGGGCCAACGCCAGTACCTGGGCAACTGGACCACTGAATCCACAGCGGACATCTACACCCGGGAGAAGCGCAACGTGGTCACCCGGGTTTGGGAGGCGTCGAAACTTACCTCCCTGAATCTTAAGACCTGAACCACCCGGACTGGGAGGACCCGGGGGTGGTGACCATCGACGAAGAGGGACCTGGACAACCCGGCACACCTCCGGGCCCGCGCAACTCGCCTCCGGAACGCCCACTGAGGCCCATTCCGAGAGCACGGCCAGCTGGGAGACTCGGTCGCTGATGCCTCCGGGCCCCTGTGGGTCCTGGACAAACCAGGGCAAGACCATTGGGTGCGGCTGATCTCCCAACCTGGCCCGAGTGAATGAGCTCACATCGGACGAGTACATCGCGAACATCGATGCCCACCTTTGCTGCGAACGGTGCTTCAAGCACCACACCTTCCCTGCGGACTGGCAGACACCAGCAGCCCCAAATGCGCCTCTGCCTACTGAGGCCTCGTCAGCCTCCTCGCCAGACTCCGAGGACTCCCTCACGGATGATTCGGTTGACACGGAGAAGGTCATTTCTGAGATGCTCCACCGATCCCACGAGCGTGCAGTGGAGTGAAACCCACTGATTTTGACACTGCCTTTCCCCTTACCCCCGGGCTGAGGGACAGGTGCTGCACGCCCTGATATCCCCCGGCCAGGAGCAAGGGAGGCGTCGCTCGCCCTCTGGTCCTATCTCCTGAGGAATCGACCCCGCACGGTTGCCACTTATTGGCGACCACTGGGTGGCATGCGTCCTGCGGGATTGGCTGATTTTCGAATGCCACCCAGTGCGTACCAGGTGAAGTCCTGGCATGGGTGAAAAGGACAGCTCAAACCCACCTCTCTGAAAAGAGGTGCGAGCTGCTTCTGTGATGCTGCTGTCTGCCTTTTGGATTGATGTTTGGGGACACTTTGGTTTTGCAAGGAGTTTGCGGATTGCAAACAATGTGTCCACAATACATTTCATTGCCAAAATGGCCTGCCATTTTGGCTCAAGGATCAGCTCCTGATCCATCAAAGATCGAACTTTTGCGAACCCACCCTCCACTCCCTGGATGGCCGCTCCGGCCGGGCCGCCGATGCCGATACGCCCCCCTCACCCTGTACCTGAACCTCTTCAGGAACGAGTGGATGCGCTGAGTGCAGGGGTCAAGGCCCTCCTCACACAGAAGGGGACCCCGTACTGGGTGATGGCCCAGATGGCCCAGGCGGGCTACACCACCATGGAGGACCTGAACCTGAACTTTGCAGGCAATGACTATGGGTGGACAAGCGAACTCCGGGAACTCATTTCCATGCGCATGTTTCAGTGTGCGCGCCTGGCTAAGGAAACGATTGGAGAGACGATCACGGGCCTGGCGTGGCCCGGACCAGCCCCTGCTACCCATGGGCAAGACCACTGGCTTGGACGCGGTTTGTGACCGCAAACAAATCCTCGTGGATTGGGACCGCATCGCCAGCCAGCCACGACCCAAGCACCAGGGCAGTGACAACTTCCTGAAGAAGCAATTCAAGCTGTGTGCCCATGGGGAGATTGGATTCTTCCTTACCAAGCAAATCATCTCAGCGCTTCCAGACACTGATGAAAAACCCATTAAGATCAAACGAAAAGCCACTTTTGACGGATGGGAACGGGAGGTTGAAGAAGAAGAAAGAGCCTTCCCGAGCACTAAGGAACAGATCAAGAAGATGCACATGGTCTTTCGGAACAACCTGTACATGTGCCTCATCAGCTTCCCTCAGCACCCCCAGCTCAACGTGACCAAGCTCGACCTGGATGACTGGTACGAGTGGTTCTGGGGCAAGGACATTGCTGAGCGGAAACCCTCCCCCTCTGAATCCACCCTGGTTTATGCAGAACGGAATGCGTGGCGGGAGATCCACAACAAGGTCTACGAAGGGGCGACGCTGAAAGATGCCACGCAAGACCTCCGCCAAGACAGCTTGTTCTGGACACGGGAGGTCTACGAACGATGCCAAACTCGCAGCGCCCCCCAACACCAAAGGGAAGAGGAGCATCGCCTGGTCGCCACGGCAGCCCCAATGGTCCAAGGGCCAGGTCAAATCCGGGCGCTCGCCTCCCAAAGGCAAGGGGAAGTCCAAGACGAAAGACAAGGGCAAGGCGAAGTCATCATGGCCCTCCACTTGGGCCACGGCGGCGCCCAATGGCACGCCCTTCTGCCGCGACTTCCATGTCCGGAAAGCGTGCCAAGGCAGCTGTGGGCGCTCGCACAACTGCCCAGTCATGAAGGACGGCTGGGTCTGCAATGCACCCCCAGGGCAGCACAGCCCCGGCAACTGCCCACACAAGTGACTAGCCCTGGGATCCACAGATGCTCCACGCTCTGATATGGATCCAGGGACTCCCATGCCACCGTGGGAACCTGACAAGCAGCGGACACAGTCCCCAGTTTCCAGGTGCCTCGGGCCCTATCCAGGCGACTGCTCCCACAACCAGTAATACGCCACTACCCTTGCAGAGGGGCTCCAATCCACCTAATGACGTGCCCCCGGCACAGCGGGCATTGACCCAGTGGACTGGGAGCACATCGGACGCGTGGACCGAACTGCAACAGTGGATGCAATTTGTCCCGCAACGCCTACATGAGCGACTTCGCTGGAGCCAGGGGCACTCGCATCTGCCCCCTCAGACCTCAGCTCATCTCCTTCTCTATGCGGAAGGACGATGCCACATCGTTAGACCACTGCATCCGGCAGCTTTTCCCCGACCTTTCAACAGAGCTCATCGCCCTGGACATCAGGCGGGATGGCAAGGAGGTCGAGCATGACCTCCTCAGGGACCAACCCTACAGTGACCTGTCCACCGAGCCCTGGAGGGGCAACTTGACGGCGTGGGGGGTGGCCCCAATTGCCGCACATGGAGCATCCTTCGATGGACCCCCAAGCCGGGAGCACCTCCACCGGTACGTGGCCGCCGGGAACCAAACTGCTGGGGCCTGGACTGCCTCAACACCGCAGACCAGCAACTGGTGGATGATGACAGCATCCTCCTATTGCGCCAGATGGTCCTCACACACCTCGCCCACCTGGGCAGGGCACGGCGACAACGGCCAGCCCCATGGAACTTCCTGCAGCACCCAGCCAGCGGATCCACAAGACCATAGCACAGCACCGAGCGCATGGAGGTGCAGCTCCATCTGGGCCACACGAGCGGTACGCACGTGGTATCGCCTGCTAGGCAACACACTGGTTACCTTCGACCAATGCCGGCTTGGCCAGGAAAAGACAACGACGTTGTCTACCAACCTCTTCCTTCGGCACTGGCATGGCGTGTACTGCGATCACAAACCGGAGGAGCACCGGCAGAGGAACACCCTCATGTCATCCGACCTGAGCAGGTACCCCTGGCACATGATGCAGGGCCTGGCGAACGCCATCCATGACTACCAGGGCCCCGGCCACCACTGGCGCCCTGCTCCGCAGCTGCTTCATGCGCTGATCCCGGACCAGGTGCCGCCAAACGGCCAAGGCTGGGGGCTAAGACCGATCTGGCACGCCCAGCAGTCCCCCCCTGGATCAGCACTCCGCCCGCGGTACGTCCCGGGAGTTAGAGTCACCATCTCATACCAATCAGATGGAAAATCCGACTCCGACTGCAACCCGCACCGGAAGACCCCTCTGGGGGGACAGACTGGAGGAAGCCCTCCAACCAACACGCCCGGTCCAATGGACCATGGCTCCGCCTGCGGTACGCCCCGGGAGTGGCAGACCTCACCTCCGCCGGAGGCACATGAGGACCAGAAGGGCCCTCCACAGACAGATGGAGGGACCCACACACAAAGGCGGGACATCAAACGGAGTGGACCTTCCCGCCGGCCAGGTCCGACCCATTCGGGATGGGGGGAGGAAACCCTCCCCAGGGCGCACTCCGCCACCACTGAGGCCCCACTCACCACTGGCTGAGAAGGGCCACCTGATCCTGACTAAGGTCCAAACCTTCACTAAGGACTTTCGTCACTCCATCAGCCAACATGACAAGCAGCATCCTTTTCCGGAAGCTCTGCTATGTGAAGTACGCCACATCTTGGTGGGCCCGCGCAAGGACACCATTGAACCAGGACAACCATTTTACCTGGAGGCAATCCATGATCTGGCCAAGCAGATGAACGATGCCGACCAGGACTATCCCCTCACCCTGAGGGGAGGAGTCGCGCTGGTTGTCTCTAAACCCACTCTGGCTAGCCCGGGGATCTGGCCTACCAAGACTGAACTCAGATCCCACTCAGGACTTCCTGCCGCCCCCTGTGGGCCGGGACAACTATAGCTCGGCGGAACAGTTTATTGCGGAGATCAAACAAACCTTCAGGGAAGAACGAGACATGGGAATGGTCGAAGGACCCTTCACCATCGCCGAAGCGGCCGAATACTGTGGGTGCACCCCAGAAGAACTTTGCCCAGGCCCCATGGCAGCCATTGACGAGGGAGACAAAGTGAGAACCATCTATGATGGCTCCTGGGGGGGGCCAACGCACACATCCAAAGACACACGGAGGAGTGTACCACGGCGCCCACTGTAATGGAATGGGTCCATGCCTACACTGGCTGCGCGCCTCCTGTGGGACCGGTCCTTCCGGACGGGCAGGTGCCTCGGGCCCTGATACCCCCAAGGAAGGGCAGGGTCAATGGACATGGCCAGAATCGGCCACAGAATGGCATATTATCCTCAAGGCAGATGTCACCAAGGCGCACAGACGCGTCAAGATCCACTCTCGGGACTGGCGATTCCAAGTGGCCCAAATTGGTGACGAATGGTGGGTCAACAAGGTGGGCACCTATGGCACGGCAAGTGCCCAGCTCTACTGGGGACGGATGGCAGCACTCCTCCTTAGGATTGTCTATGCAGTGTTTCCTGCAATCGACTGGGGGTTCGTCTTTGTGGATGACTTTGCTTGGCTCCTTCAAGGCCACCTAGCCAACCTACACTCCACCGTTGAGCTGGAAGAAGACGGCCCTCGCCCACACGAACACGTGGCTTGGATTCGTCATTGACCCATCAGGACCCATTGTCCAGATGGCAAAGGACAAACACGCCCTGGTAACGCAGCTATTGGACCGGCTGGCAGCGCGTGAGGTCTTCACCCTCAAGGACCTTGAAAAGGGCATGGGTCGACTGCAATGGGCAACCAGCGCCTGCCCCTTAACCAAGCCACTGCTCCAACCGCTCTGGCAATGGAAAGGCGCGGTGAAGTCCTCTCTGGCAAGCCAAACCACCTGATCCGCACCTTTGCTAAGATGCTACGACTTCTCTCCCATGAGCCCTATACTCAATCCACTCCTTTTGCACCCTGGTCGCCCTGGCACGGGGCGAGCGATGCGAGTGCTTCCACCCAAAAGGAGTACTATATCGGAGGCTGGCTTTCCTCTGATCCCACTCCAGCCAAACGATCAGTTTTCTGGTTTCACCTCCGTTTGGACGAGGCTTCTTTCCCATGGCTCTTCAAAACCAAAACTGCCAGTGCCATGATCCCAGCCCTTGAGTTACTGGGATCTCTCATCCTTATCACCTTCATCCTGAAGATGGGGGAACGCAACCAACTGGCAGTCAAAATTCCAGTGATCACGGACAACCAGGGCAACGTCTTCTGCATGCTGAACAGCAAGACGAGGCAAATGCCCACTGCGGCCATTTTGATGCAACTGGTCCTGACTCTCCACAAAGGGGGGCGCGCAGCTTGCCCCACATCACGTGAAGCGCGACCTCAACCAGTGGGCCGATGAACTCACTCATCCGAACCCCACGGGGTTCCATCCTGAGCGCTACGTCGATGCGAAGAACATCCTCTCAGAGTTCACACTGATGAACTGGGTCCTCAAGGAGATCTACAAGTACTGAGGACCGCAAATTTTCCCTTTTAAGCTCCCTTCCAGCTGCTTCACGCGCTGAGTAGAAGGGGGCCAACCACTTTTGACTGTGACCATCACGGGTCCTAGACTGGACGCCCGGTGTCAGTCTGCTTTACAGGTTCTCACCGGCTGATTTTCGAATGCCGCCCAGTGCATACCAGGTGAAGACCTGGCATGGGTGAAAAGGACAGCTCAAACCTGTAAAGGCGGACACTACCACCTCTCTGAAAAGAGGTGCGAGCTGCTTCTGTGATGCTGCTGTCTGCCTTTTGGATTGATGTTTGGGGACACAATACGAAATACATAAGCCATAAGCTGTGCCTTTTCGATTGCACTACTGCATTTAGCAGCATGCATCTGGTAGAGGCAAAAGTCCGTTCAGGGGGGATATGCTACGTGCTGAGTTCCTTAATTATTGGGGGAACCTTGGCCACTTCTGTGGGGCGATTCAATTTTTTGTGTATTTTGTGTGTTGACTTTGTACAATGATGTTCAATAAGGCATGATAGCGACAGCAGATGGAGAGGAAGCGTGAGCAGTAGCAGTAGCAGCAGTAGGAGTCGTAGGCACAGCGGCATTAGAGTAGGCACTGCAACACTAGCGGCACCATCGCAGCAAGTATCGATTTTTTTAAAATCAGAATCATAATATCATAATAGTCATAGCGCACAAACGACCAGCGAACAGAGCACGCTCAGCTGGTGATGAGCAACCAGTGTATTTGTGTGTGAGAGTCATTTGATTCTAGACGTAAGACGAGGCTTGTGGTGGAGGCCAGGGCTCCTCCCGCTAGTCCCAAGGCCATCTCAGTCAAGGGCACTAGCAAGTCTAGTTAAAGACTTTTGCAGCAACAGGTATTTCATGCTGCTGCACACACTTTTAGAGGCCGAGGGCTTTGTTCACATGCTTTAGGTGAGAGGGTTGAGTGCAATGTCCAGATGGAACCTGCATATTTTTGAATGTGGTCTTACTTGGCAAAGGATTCAGACAAGGGCCTTCTCTTGGGCTTGCGAGAGGCACCCGGCCCTCAAGACGTCAGTCAGGGCTCTTTGCATGCCAATCCATTTGGCTTCGATGAGCTGCTCTGAAAATGGCAGGGTGTTTCTTCTGGAGACCTAAGTTTGGCCGAGTCCCTGACATTAATGGTGCGCAGGACATCTTGCAAAACAGAACACACGAGAAAGGGGGTGCGGCAGAGGTACAGCTGATGGTGAACATGACATCAGCCAATGCATTGAGTTCGTTTGCAGCTTAGCATGATTAAACTTTTGTGGCTGTACGACTCGATTCACTGAGCTTCGGCAATGGCAAGGTTGCTCTTTCGCCTTGCGACAGAGACGGATTCAGCGCAGGAGGCGGTCCTATGAAGCAACTGATGTTGCATGTTGCAGACTGTCGTACGTTGTTTGACAGCTGTAGCAGGTCTTCGCAAATTTCCCTGCCAGCGGTGATGCCTTCATACAGGAAGTGCGCTGTGCCGAATTTGACCCCATGTCCATGCACGCACTAAGCAGACGCATGACTTTCCAACAGCGCACAAGGTTCTGCGATTGGATGCTCCCTTGCAAAGAAATCCTCGAAGATGTGTCAGCATCGGTGTCTAGCTGAGCTGCATATCTGCCAAAGCTGGATACCACAGCTGTAGTAACAATGTTCGCTACTAGGGGCTCCTGGCCTCGCTACTAGAAACAAGGACGCTACTAGGGGCTCCTGGCCTTACTACTAGGAGCAATGTTCGCTATTAGTAACACGAATAGGTGAGGAAAATCATAATAATAAGGCAAGAAGTGGCAGGATGCTGGTCTAAAAGAAGGGAATCAGGCGAGATCATTGCACAACTACAAGGGATTGCAAGAGTACCAGTTGCTTTTGTTCTAGGTCTTGCTGTTCCTTGGTGCGGCCAACATGGACCCTGCTGTATTCCGCAGCCCAGCAGACTTCAGGCTTGCCTTTTTGTTAGCTCTAGTTCGCAAGTGTAGGACCAGCCTCTTCAATTCTTATGACACATGAATTGATCACTGGAGTTCCTACGAAGCCTTTTCTTATTCTTTCTTTGATCTTCTTTGGAAAACCACGTAAATCTGACTAAATTTGTCGTTTGTCTATATATAAAGTTATAAGATACATTAAGATACTATAAGCATTTTCAATCTCATTCAATCAGACTCATTTCCAGGGTTTGCTGTGCCCACCTCTTCTTCCAACAGGATTGATCGGGCAGACGAGTCGCCTGCGCTCACCTTTGGCAGCGGGTGCAACTTGCAAGCATTGAAATCAGAAAGAGAAGAAGCCGCTCACGTTCCTGATGACAAGGGGTATTGAAGTCCAAGATCCTTTTCGGTCCAAAACGACACCACTTTGTGGTTTCTGACGGTTCCGACTGTTACAGTCACTAGCGCTGCACAGCACCGCTTTCTGCCAGGATGCACTATTGCTTGGGGAGCAGCACAAGGCTTAATTGAAAAGGAAGAAGCGCAAGTAGGTTGGAGGCCACCGCTACTGTAATTTGTTATGTTTTTCTTTTTCCTTGAGAGTATCAGTATCATAGGAGCACCATCAATAAGTGGCCCATTGTTATGAGAGCACCCCAGTGCACACAGAAAATGCCACCGCCACTAGTGAGAACAACAAGAAGGCAGCGATTTGTGACTAAGACCTGGTGAAGCTGGAGATGCGACTGGCGTGCCTTGACTACGTCACAAATACCCAAGACCTTGAACACATGCCTTCAAAAATGAGGCTGGAACATCTTACCAGCAGCTACAAATCAATTGCCTTGACCTCAGCAAGCTTTGGCACGTTGAGGAGTCTCAAGAGAGGAGTTCTTTGCATCCATGACTTCCATTCCAGGCGCTGGATGGTCACTACCAGCGGATTGCAGATGTCGACGCACTAGCCCAAGGAAGCTGACATGTAGCAGCCGTTCGTTTTGATGAACAGTGCCACCTATTTTCAACAGTGCCATTCAGCCCCTTTTGCTTCAAGCCCAGGTTGGGAACTGGGGATTCTGTCATTTGCCAATCCGCTTGAAGTGACTCGTGGGCAAAAGCCGAGCGTTGGAGCTGAAGCTCATGAAACGGTGTCCCAGTGTGCAGAAAAAGGCTGCAGCCGAGGAACAGGTCTATGATCAACCATGCAAGTTCATACCTAGCACGCCGGATGCACAGTGTACCATGCAAAGCATGACACAGATTGATGCCCTTGCAAACACTGGAAATGGGAGCAAAGACGGGCTGAACTGGACATTCTTGAGCTACAGCAAGAATCTTTGGCAACTGTTTGTTGATCTAGTCACACCCTCCTTGACTCCGTGATCACTGTCACAAATCCAGTTACGCTCTTGAGGAAGATTCTCTCAGGCAACATGCAGAGAAACAAGGAGAGTCAACCAGCATAATGAGAAACTGCAAACACAGAACTGAGGACAAGTAACGGCAGGTTTGGATTCTCTAATGTCCTCTTGAGCATTTCCCCATTTCCCCCCGTGCAATACTATAGATAAGGCATTCCTCCTTCGACTCAGCCACTCAAGGAACAAGTTCAAAGGGCTAAAAGTTGAACTTGCACTTGAAATGCAAAAAAGGTGCACAGAAATCATCATAAGGATTTTGTAGGAGCAAGAACCAGCATTATCAGTGTCATCAATCACCTGTCAATGCCCGAGCCTCGGCATATCGCATAAAGTATTCTGAACAAAAGTCTTGCGAATATGAGCCGTCAGGCTAGGCTTGAGGTGTGATGACGGAACGCTGGGGGGCGGGGGGATTGAACATGGTGGACCTTTTGGGCATGGCGGACGCAGCACGGGGTGGGGGAGAGGCGAAGAAGTGCCGGTATGTGCGTTGTCGACAGGTGCTAGAGATGCAACTGATAGAAGATAGCATTTTGAGCATCAGTTTGGATGCGAGGGTCAGAGGTTAGATAAGATGGCAACAGCACAAAAGGAACAGATAGTTTTACGGCGTTTGCTGCTGCTGCTGCTGCTGCTGCTGCTGCTGCTGGCTTCAGCTGTTTAGTTGTGCAGGTCCAAGTTGTAACCAGGGGCATAGCAGCATAGGCATAGGTCAACCGCTTTTTGAACAGTTGGAAGAAAGCCTGTAGCCCAACTGATGAGCATGCTGGAGTAGCGTTCCCATTTAGACCACAGAAGCACACACCTGAAGCTTCAATGGAACACCCACCTGACGTCCACGACTCTTGGCCTGCAATGATTCCTAGCTCATCGATCACTTGGGTCGAGCTACCAGGTACCAAAGCACATTCACAAACGGTGGACTTAGTCCTCAAACGAGGGTTCCATTGAGCTCGCAGGAGGTGCGCATTTTGAGTTTTCATTTTGCAGCCACTTGCAGCCACTTGGCAGCCACTTGCAACTGGAGTGTTCGCCATTTTCATTATCAGGTACACACCACACGACCATGGTTTTGAGTCACAGGTCCTTTAGTTTGAGCCTATTTTACGGATACCTCCGTCAAGAGATAGCCTCTAGTTTCAACAGATCCAATTATGGACTGGCGTTGTGGTAGTCTGAGAGTGCCGGAAAGAGACATGGCAAGTCGGGTAGACAATAGTGTTTCAGAGTTCTTGTGTAGCCACAGCCATGTCAGACTTGCAAGCATACATGGCCCAGCTGATGAAAGGATGTTCGTTGGAGATTCAAGAGACGCCTGACCGTGGCCGAGGACTTTTTGCCTTGCGCAAGCCCACAGGCAAGCCTGCTATGCTTTTCTCAGAAGCTCCTCTTGGACGTGTTGTCCAAATGTCGAAGAGTTCTCGCAGAAGGGGTGGTGCCTGCTTCTTGTGCGGTCATGCCTTGGGTAGTCCTGCCTGGCAGCTAAGCCTCCTTACGAAGGGTGATATATCCTTGGGCCATGAGCAGCAGCCACTGTCCGAACCACTGTCTGACATCGTTGAGGGCAAACCATTGTTTTGGAAAAGGAAGCCTTTGTTTTGTAGTTCTCAGTGCAATGTCGAGTACGAACGCATACTTGGTCCTTTGCGTGCCCGGCGCAAGTCAGCACAAAAGTTTGCACAATATGTCCGGAAAGTGGACTGTGCTTTCCACATGCTAGCCTTGAAACTGATTTGTTGGTGCCTTGCGGAAGCCAAGAGAACGACTCCAGCAGAAGCGGCTGCCCCTTTGCAAGTGCTATGCTGCAGGCCCTACTGGGATGCCGTGGATATGCCATCCGAACATCTGGGAGACAATGTAACCTTTAAAGAAAAACTGCGAAATGAGGCTGAAAAGGCCCGACAGTTAGCTTTGAAGGCCTTGGGAGGCAGAGCTGCCCTGCCACATGACTGGAACTTTCTCAATGAGACCGGATATGCCAATCTACTGGGAGCACTCTGCAGCAATTGCACAGTGGTTCTTTACATGTCTCCGGTGCTACAACATATTCTCCAAGTTACCAGCATGACAGACTGCGCTGCCAAAGCAGCCGCCCTCGCTGCACTGGAACCGCCTATCCGATCTTTGATCGCTTCACAGACTTCCAAGATCGGCACACAGCAGGCCCGGACTGGACATGTTTTCGTACATGTGCTTGTTGTGACAAGGTAGCCTGGATATCCTCCCGTGCTTTCAATATACAATTGTCATTTGTTTCGTTCTCAGCTTGCGTTCCGCTGGCGCGCCATGAGGTGAGAGATCAGGAGATTTCATGGGAGACTCCCAGTGGTCGTTTGTCTTTCTCCTCATCGATCATCCCTCCCTTTAAAGGGTATGCCATCTACCCTCGCATGGTTTCAGCCTGAGGAATTGGCGAGTGAATGATTATACTATTTTTTTAATTTTTATACTATATTCTTCACACTTTCGATTCCTTTTGTAAGACACCTTTGGCTTGACCAAGGCTTTCATGAATCATTCCTGCAGACCAACCTGTGCAATTGAATTTGACTACACTGCCCAGATCTTTGTGCTACAGCAGCCATACAATGACATGGACAAAGGCACCATGGCAGCAGTTCACGCAGATTCATCCGTTGTGCCACAAAGTGTGCCTGCTTGTCACCCTCAATCTCACGATGGCCACACAAAAGGATTGGCCTCAGATAGTGCCAAGCTTTCCGTTGTTTCCCTCTTGTAGAACTTCAGCTTCCTTGCTCCCCTGTGCCTGCAAGCTTGAAGAAGGCACAGAGCTCACAATTTCGTACCTCGACTCATCATTGGATGCCCAGGCGCACGACCAGAGAGCTGAAGGGTTTACCAAGCTCATTTAAGTGCAAAGAGTTGCAAAGATCGATAGTTCTTGCGAGATACTGCGAGACCACTCATAGGGCCCAACTTGCCTTGCTTTCTTGGTGAATGCAGGCTGATTTGATTGCTATGGGGAGAAAGCGCAGACGGCAGGAGCTCCTTCCCTATGGAATAGAATGCTCTTGTCACTTGGAATCGGTTTACTACTTTCATATACTTTTGCTTCATAACTACTGTAGCTGAAGTTTCAGCAGTCTCTGACATGCCCGCAGTTGCCCATATATTACCTCTCCAGCACACATATTAGATGCCGCGCACAGGGTTTTCTGCACATGTATTTGTTACATATTTGTAAGTGTATCGATCTCGGAATCTATCTGCTACTCTGAATTGGCGTTCGCCAGGTGAACTATGTGAGCCACTGCCGAAAGCCTGCAGGGTGCGATCGCGACGAAAGAAATTGACAGTCGCAAAACACGGGTACGTGAGTTTCTTTTTGGCTGGAGGCAGTGAGTATGCCTGCTAACTGATCGACTTCAGTACAAGCATAAGCGACTAGTAGCACGGATGCTGAGGAACCCTCGCTGCAAGTTGAAGCGGTTCCTAGATTTTGAGGTAAACAAAAAGACAACGTGAAACTGCCGTGTGGCTCAGGCTTAGCTTTGATCACATGGAAAGCCACTATACCACTGCAGCACCTGTAGCTACTGTATACAGCTGTACTGGTACAACTTCACTCAAGCTTCGAGGTGCTGAGCACCTAGGACGATGAGTGGCTCGGAATTGCTAATCACCAATTTGGATTCAGGATGGATAAGCTGTAAGCCATCACATCCAGGCATGATTGAAAGGAGCGGAAGACAGCCCCAAGTGATTTTGAATCAATATCACATCGAGCAGAGCATCACTAAGCCTCGGGTTGCTTTGTCCCAGATGTTGCCTGGCCAGGTGAGACGCAGTTTCTTGTTTATTTACTTCTTTTTCAAAAAAACCGCTTCTTGTGTTGCTCTTGCTCAGGGGTGGTAGGAGCCTGGGTTTCCTATGGCCAGAGGTACCTCGACGCATCATAAGTGTCTTGCCTTTCTTCATTTGGATGCTAAGGTGTTCAGAAATGTTTGCGCTTGGCTGTGGCCACCGTGGCCACATGCTTGGCTTGATTTCTGTTGCTTGCACAGCGATACGACAATGCATGCGAGGCCTTGACCGCGCTGACACTCTTGGTGAGTCCAAAAGCGCCTTCGGTATCTATCTTTCAAACCTGCAAGATGAAATTGCTTGTTTGCCAACATGAGACTTGCATCAGTTGCAAAGTATCTAAGGAGGCGGCCATCCGAAACTACTCTCCTCCGACAACGCTGCCAAAAAGCAATATTCCAGATCCTAATGCGCCACAAGGCCCTTTGCGGATCCCAGGCTATGAGCTTCGGAAAGCGTACGCAGCACCCTCAGCATTTGCCGTTTTCAGCTTCTATTTTGAAATGTTTGCTTCTTTTGACAGAAAGTGACAAACCGGTTGTAGATCGAATAACATAGGAATGATGTATATACTGTAGACTGTAGATTGTGCTTACGTGTTTTTGGTTCCAGGCTGGAGCTGCTTGGCGTCGAGGTGCATTGGAGAACAAACAAATGGAAGAAGCCGCAAGCGCAATCTTTTGCCTTTGCTAGGTGTTGACAGTCTTGACGGTCCACTGCTTCAATGCGTTTGATTTTTTGATGCTGTTGGGGCAGGGCCGGCCCTAGTGGAAGAGGCAAAAAGTCAGAGCCTCAAGCAGATCTCTTATGTTGTGTGGCATAGTTTGAATGGGAAGCCCGGGCTTGGTGGAAGGTGTTTGAAAGTGTTTTGTTTCATCGATGGAACCATGTTGAACCCAAACTCACATCAGGAAGAGTCGATCCTGGAATGTGCGAGGCTTAATGAGCCCAGTTTGATTTCGATTCCGGGCGACTGAAAGTTTGGATTCTGAACCATGTCCGTCTCTTAAGGCCTCCACTAGAAGAAAGAGTGTTCCTTGTTACAGGAGCAACAAAAGGTCATGGCACTGGTCTCAGAGTTTGGGAGTTTAGTGTTACATCACTCCGCGGGGAAGATCTTGCAAGAAGCTTGGCCATACGATATGTCTCAATTTAAGGCAATGAAAGACTTCCCACCGGCACCAATTATACCAAAACATACCAACACATAGCAACACATCAACGTTTCTTTTTTGGGGGGAGGGGTAGCATATACATAACTATATATACACATGATAGAGTACCTTTTCACACTGGAAACAATACCGCTTGATTTACGTACTTGATTTAAGAATTGTAATGACTAGATGATCTAATTATTTACTAATTATATGCTATTGAACTAATTGAACAATGAACATACAAATTGGAAAGGTCCATCTCCCCTTCAGTCCTGTGTGTTCTCCGTGCCAGTTGAAAGATGGTGGGGAAACTAGGAGGTGGAATTTCAGGAAGTGGAGAGGCGAGTGCTTAATTACGCGTGGTGTGGAGTGAGATGGTTTGCCACTCTTTAAGGGAGTGATTGAGAGGAAGGGATCAAGAACGATACAAACCACTTCAAAGAGCTGGAGATAATGGTTGAACAAGTGAGTAGTGATCGAGCCAGAGGGAGCAATTCATTTCTTGGCAAAGCAGATGGATTGGTCTCTAGCCTTGAGGGACAAATTGGGTGGGGAGCGGCTGTTTAGAGGAACGACAAAGTAGACCCACAAGGTCCTTTGCACATACATCATATAATCACATAAATATGAATAAAGTAATATAGAGTAATGTTCAGGAACTACTGCGCGTTCAAAATATGTAATTGTGTATATTACGATGTATTACGAAAGCCACCCGATAGGCTAGGCTTGAGCTTTTGGGGCGAACGAAGTGAGTTAAGGGGGTGTGGGGGTGGGGTGGTCGCTGAACAGGACCTTTTGATAGGGTGGACGCAGAGCTTGGCGGGGGAGAGCGCTGCAAAGCGAGGGTCCGAAAAGCAATGAACATGGGGTCTGGTGATGCGAGTGATGTAATGGACGCTGAGCAGTGCATCATTAGCATCATGAAGGGCTTTGGAGACTATTTGGACAATGGGCACTCGAGTGGAGAGGGACCCACGTACAGGGACCGGCAGCTGGCTTTCGCCCCCCCCGTCTCCAGGTATATATACACACACACACATATTATATATATACACATGCATAACTTCTTATCCGTAGTGGCTCTACAGGCCTAGAGACTACCGCGCGCCTTCTGGACGCCGGATGTACGGTTGGGGCCTAAGAGCCTCGAATGGACGCACCTGTGAAGCAGTGACCGTGAGGTTATCATGCATGGCAAGATCGAAGGAACCGTTTGAACTTGCAAGTGTTCAAGTTGACCCGATCTTAGAGAGTATGTGTCTTTTTCAGAGAGCTCAACGGAGCTTGACAGGACGTTTGAGAAAGTGGGCCCTGGACATGGGCTTTGGCCTGAATGAGTGTTGTCACATCATATTCCAGCTTCGCAGCATTTCACAGCTATGCAGCCACAATGTACCCAACGGCATTGTCGAGCAAAAGGTGAGGCTTTCGAGACGGACAAGATCGATCCCGTGCTTTGCGACCTCAGTGAATCCGAGGAAGTCGAGGCAACTTTTGCGAGTCTCTGGTGGAAGAGGAGAGTCATTCACTAAGCAATTCCATTGCAGGCTTTGGCCAATCTTATTGCAGTTGGAGGCTGAGGAATGATGTCAGACTTGCTAGGTCCACCGCTGGTAGACGGCTGTGTGGTTTCGGGACAATTTTTGTTTGTAGAAGAACGTTTCTTTATTGAAATTATATACATTGGGATTAGCACTTTCTGTGGTTGTTCAGGGGTCTCGAAGCAGAGTTCTTGTGTTGGGAAATACTACTTTACATCCACATGATTGATCTGAACTGAGCTGCCTTTTGTTCTTCGACGGAGCTTGCTAATCTGTACAAGCACTTCGTCTCCAGAGGGGTTTCGCAGACAATGTTGTGAAATCGATTTACCCCCACCCCCCAACCCTCCCCCCACCCACCCAATTTTAATCACACGACTAATCGATGACAAGGTTGTGACATCGATCACAATGTGGTGAAATCGATGTACACAAATTTTTTGTTTACTGCAGAGAAACCAACAAGTGCTGTAAGTACCATCATAGAAAATGCTTATGGCTTATGGCAAATGCGACGCTCTCCCCAGTGGCCCTGCGGACACAGAGAAAGTGCTGTATACCAGACGGAATTTGCAAAAAAGTGCTCGAAATGACCTGCGGCAGGCCATGAAGGATCTGATTAGTTTTCGCTTGCCAAAAAAAAGCTGAGGAGAAACATCCCAGAATTCATGGGATCTTGCACAATGCTGCCACAATCGATGGACAAGACCTCAGGGCAGACAGTGGACGCCTATAGCAGACCCAGATTACATCAAATTTATCCCAGTGATGCAGTCATCCTGCAAGACTTTGGATTTGCCAAGCTTTCTGTTTGTGTAAAGTAATCAGAATCACGTCTTGCTTCGGCTAAGGCAAGTTCACTGGGAAACGAAAGTACACCTGGAATGATCTTGCCCTAGTATTTGCAGTGTTTGGAAATAGCAAATCAGTATAAAGATGTGTGTCTCGTGCAGTCAAAGCAGATGGAAGTTGTATCAAAGCACCATTCAGTGACACCTGAGTACAAAATGGAGCATACCATGGCGGTGAACGCGCGCGACACCTAGACCAGAGGCATCCCATATTTGGCCCTACACTAGTAGACTTGACTAGATCTTCACTGATTTTAATTTTGGTCTTTCTTGAAGTGATGACATGTTCATGGGTTTTTGCTTGAGGATTGCACCATTTCAGTTGACATCTCTCCTGATGCGCAGATGCATAGTTTTCAGATCTCTGCCCTGCAAAAAGCAAAGCAAACTGCAAGTGTTTAGTGCAGTTTCAGATCTTTCTTCCAAGCATTGCCAGGCCACAGCTAAATGCCGCTGGCAGCGCACGCGTGATGTTTTCCACGCCGGCACACCCAGTCTGGTGGCTGTGGAGGAACAACCTCGTTTGGGATTTGCATGAGGTCCCCTACGATGAGTGGTTGTGACCCTAGTCTTGCACACATGATAATGACACTTGCAGAAGGGTCGTTACCAGCTTTCATCGGACCATCGGGTTTGAGTGGTCGTTTGCAGGGGACAACTATCTTGATGACATCAAGTGTGAGTGCAAGCCTAAGCTGGCTTCAAGTTGTCCCTTCGAAGCTAACCCACCAGGGATACAAAGCTTCGAATACTCCAGCTGATCCGAGGAGATACTGGACCGGTCTGCATTCATACAGACTCAGCAAAGCCCCCGGCTGACGAAATTTCGGACAAGTTTTAGAAAGAAGATGAGTAGATCGAACATTCTAGAATGGTGGGGTCTAGAAGCCTCGGGCAAGGAACCACTGTAAGGAACGGAACCACCTAAAGAAGTAAGAAGCAGCAAGCACAACACGATTCAATCACCAACAAGGCTAAGGCCGCTGACAAAAAATGTCCCAGGCAAGTTGTGCTTGGAGATGGTGGCCAAAGAGATGCATTTGCTTGATCCTTAACATTCATAGTTTTGGGAGACCGCGGCCTGTTGATTTTGAAGCCTTGAGGAGATACGGAAATGCGCCGAACCTCACTTTCCACAGCTTTCATCCAGGATCTGCCCGAGACCTGTTGCGGAACATCCCATACCAAGCCACATCCGCCACATAAAGTTTTGACATTGAGGCGAACACCAAACTGATGCGTCAGGGAGCTGCTGCGGGTGTTTGAGACCCAGTATGCACAGATGACTGCGTTTGGAGAGGATTTGCCGCAAGATACTGGACTTTTGCCATTTCACTTGTCATGTGAAGTGATGTGCAATCAGTCAGGAGAAACAGGGTTGACTCAAGTCAAGCGACATCTCTCTCTATAAATTACGATTTCAACAGAGGGAGAGGGAGGGAGGGATGGAGGGAGGTGTCAAGATACAACCTTTTGTACAATTGCATATTTACTCCATCGTAGTGTTCATGTACAATTGCATGGTGCTATACAATGCACCTTGGATCAAAGGCCTTGAGCCTAGCCTAGTTGAGCCTAAGGACAATTGCAAGAGGAAAACAATACAGTCACGTGCACAAACAAACGACAATCAAACAGCTGCTGAGTTTTACATGGTAGCGGAGCAAGGATCCTGGTAACAACAATCCAGGTGAGCTCCAATACAACAACAGGAACAAACACACAAACGCAGACAACAGAGGACAAGCCTTGACCCTACAACAGGTAGCTTGAACAGCTGCAACAATGGCAGCACCACAAGCAGCAGCTCAAACTGGAGACGGCCTGCCTCCAGTTCCAGAAGATGAGACAACTACAAACATGGCAAACATGAACAGTTACAAACTCAAACCACCTTTCTTCAGTGGAGACTATGGCACGTTCGAGGAATGGAAATACAAGTTTACAGCATACATGGCATTGCAAGACAATGACTACACAGATTTGCTACAAGCAGCAGAACGAGGCACAGCAGAACTCACAGAAGTACAACTAAGAGCAGCGGCATCAACAATCGAAGATGGTGAACGACATGTTCGCCTCAGCACCGACTTGAGGTACATCCTCATCAACACAACAACAGGAGCAGCAGCTACAGTCTGCAGACAATACCAACACACAATCGGCTTCGAGATGTACCGACAATTGTGCATCCGCTTCTCCATTCCATTGGGGACAAGATCCATAGGACACTTGACAAGATTGTTGAAACCAACATTTGACAAGAACAACTTCGAAGAATCATTTTCCACATGGGAATTTGAGCTACAACGATTTGAGGGAGACAACGGACAAACACTCCCAGACTCCGTGAAGATTGCCGTATTGCTCAACGAGACAAGTGGACCACTACAACAACACCTACAACTGCTTTCAGGACAAAGCCCAAACTATGCACGAGCCAAACAAAAAATCATCGAGTACTACAGATCGACAACAGCGTTCAGCAAACTACAAAGATCACAATCATCCAGCGTGGCAACAAGCTTCGGTGGTGGACAAGCACCTATGGACATTGGTGCAATCCACAAAGGAAAAGGCAAGTACAACAGTTACAAAGGAAAAGGCAAAGGAAAAAGAAAGAACAAAGGCAAAGGCTACGGGGGATACAACGGCTACGGGTACAACAATTACAACGCCAATTACAGAGGAAAAGGAAAGTATGGAGGAAAAGGACTCAACAACTACAACAACAGTCCGATCGGCTTCGGCAATCCATTCGGGAGAGGCGACAAAGGAAACAAAGGATTCAGCAAAGGGTACAACAAGGGAAAAGGAAAGAACAAAGGAAAACAAGCGACTGACACATGCTACAGATGTGGACGAACAGGGCACTATGCCAAAGACTGCCGAGTGGCAATACATAACATTGAAGGAGAAAGCAATGACATTGAAGACACGACAGCGCAATGGTACGATGATTACTATGACAATGGATGGTACTGTCAGGACTACACGAGACAACAACAAGGACAACAGCCATACTTCCGCCAATTCCATACACCAGCAACCACGATATGACACCAATCCATGTCATCGCCATGATCAGCAATGGCGATGACCACAAGATAGACACCACAAACAGCGGCGCGACAGACACTATGCACATCATGATCGACTGTGGAGCAGCCACACGTGTCTGCCCACTATGGTTTGCGGGCAACTATCCAGTGTACAAGATTGACCAAGCACACAGCCCAAACCTCAGGACAGTGACAAACAAGACAATACAGTGCTATGGAGTAAGATGGGTCTACATGCAATCAAGAGGACAACCAATTGTCATACCCTTCTATGTGTGTGACATCCATGACCCAATCCTGTCAGTGACAAGACTGGCAGAACAAGGCTTTGACATCAGGTTCAACGACGCTCCCACAATGCGCCGTGACAAGGGATTCAATGTTCCCTTGGTGCAGCAGCGCAACCTCTACTACTTGCCAGCAACAATTATAAACCTGGGACAACATCAACAACTACAGCTGAGACATACACAAAAGGGCATGATCGCAATGATTGCCCCAACAACACTGACAAGACATGGACCACAACAAGTCCTTGGAGGCAACAGCGACTGTTGGAACTACAACAATGAAGGATACCTTGTACGGTATCACCGGAACAAGAGGAAAGCTCTCTTTGTTCCTGGCGACAATTGCCCAGTACCACTGGAGACATTGAGCAACTACAGACGAAAAATCATCCGACGAACAGACGGGAACAACGAGGACATTGTTGAACAATACCATGACTTGAGCAAGCGCGAACAACGACGAGTGATACAAGGAGACACATGGACAGGAGAAACATGGTTCAGAGTGAACAAGCCGGCAGCGCAACCGGCAACCACAACAGCGAAGACAACCGAGCAGACAGAGAAAGTATCACAGGCGCTACAAGCACGACATCAATCGACGACACTACAACTCCCGGAACAAGACGGGACAACGCAACAGGTAAGCAGAGATCCACTATACAGACACACAACCAAGAAGCCAGCGCTAACGACTACGGCAGTACCTGATCCATCCACAATGACACCAACAACAGACTATTGGATCAGAGAAGGACACTATTGCAAACGCGTTCACGTACAGGTACGGACGACAATGTACGTACCACAACAAACAGACGATGGTCCAGACATTGGACGACTCAAACCGACACGGACAACATTCGTGAACAGAACGGAACAAGGAAGAGGGTACACAATCCATGACAACTGGCACGAATCAGGAGCAAGACAGCTTGACAGACAATGGACTGGATCAACAAACTTCGAGGAAGAAGCCACGTACAAGTACGAGTACGACACGGACAATGAAGATGAATCTCAACAAGCGCAACGCGCCAAAGGAATGAAGGCGCCGCAACAACCAACAAGACAAGAAAGACTAGAACATGAACTGACACATTTACCATACCGTTCATGGTGCCCAATATGTGTCAAGAGCAAAGGAAGAACAGACAATCATCCAAAACAAGCAAGCAAACAACCAGTGATACAAGTGGACTTCACATACATGAAAGCAATTGGAGACAAACAAGTACTACCAGTACTGACAGCAATAGATGTCGAATCAGGCATGGCAATGGCAGTTCTTGTACAAGACAAGAACCAACAACAACAATACCTGATACGATGTCTACAAACATTCATGTTCGAATGTGGACGAGCGCAAGCAACACTATCTACTACAACACTACAATCAGACCAAGAAGAATACATACAGAACCTACTGAAGGCCGTCGTACAAAAGCTCGGAAACAACGTCAACATCCGACAATCACCGGCATACTCGTCACAATCACAAGGAAGCATTGAACGATTCCATCGCACCTTGATGGGACAAGTCCGAGCACTGGTACAACAAGTGACCACAAGCTACAACCTCACATTGAGCGTACAACATCCGGTCATGCCGTGGATTGTGCGGCCTGCAGCATGGCTACTGAACAGGTATGCCATGCACAATGACGGACAAACAAGTTACCAAAGACGATGGCAGAAGGACCACAAAGCACCACTATGCGAGATGGCAGAAACAGTACAATACATGATACCAACAACAAAAGCACAACCCAAGATGGAACCAAGATTCTTCAAGGGAATCTGGCTTGGCAGAGACACAATGACTGGAGAGTCAATAGTTGGCATCCCTGGCAAGGTCATCAGAGCAAGAACAATACGAAGACAGATCATGCCAGACAAGTACGACAAGCAACTATTGGATACTATCAACGTGTATCCATGGAATTTGCCAACACCAACAATGGCAATTCCACCACAATTGCTTCTACCAGCTGAAAGCACTGCAAGCAGACAAGCAATTGGCGACATTACAGTGGAGAATACAAGTACACAGACGACGCAAGAGACACCACTGACACTACCGGCACAAGCAATGCACCATCAGCCAATGGATACAACAATGGCAACATCACCGTTGGCAACTTCACCAACAACAATGGCAAGACCACCACTGCCAATACCACCAGCAAGCAAGCGACAACACGAGGAGCCTACAGGTGAAGCACAATCCAAACAATCAAGGACAACACAGTCCTCAACAGCAGCAAACCGAGGACAAGACGAAGAACAACCAAAAGCAAAGATGAGAATACAAGCAGTGACAATCACGACAAAGAAAGATGACAAGATCACCACAGCATCCTGTGAAGATGAACAAGAAGCAGACGTGGAGAGGATGCTACAAGAACCCTTCGTCTACGACAATGAAGGTCTTGATCCATTGAAAGTACAACAAGGAATGAAGAAAGAAGCGCAATCGATGAAGACACAAGGAGGGTTCACAGAGATGAACTACAATGATGTCCCTGAAGAACACAAGAACAGGATCATAGAATCCAAGTGGGTCAACAAACCCAAACAAGATGAAGTGCGATGTCGCATAGTAGCAAAAGGCTACTTAGAAACAATCCAAGACCTTGACAGCATCTATGCGACCACGCCAATCTTTGGGATCTTACGTATCCTACTGACAATGGCGCAGCGCAACCACTGGACAATACAAGCAGGAGATGTGTCAACAGCATTCCTACATGCGCCAGCAGCGACAGACAATCTGTACATGTGGCCACCACCAGAACTATATCCAAGTGGACACAACACAACCACAGTATGGAAGCTCAACAGAGCAATCTATGGACTACGATCAAGTCCAAAATCCTGGCAGGATCACTTTGCGCAAGTCCTACAACAGATGGGACTGTCTCGACTGACAAGTGAACCCAACGTGTACAGGAACAATGAACAGACAATGTTTGTGATGGTCTATGTGGATGACCTACTATTCCTGGGACAACAACAAGAAGTCGACAAGACTTTCAAAGAAGTACAAAAGCATGTACTACTACGACCAACCGGCGCATTGGGAATTGGTCAGACAATCCAATTCCTTGGCAGAGACATCCACAACAATGGAGACTTCTTTGAGGTGAGCCTCAAACCAGAATACATCACCACATTGCTGAAGGAAACAAAAATGGAAGCAAGCAATCCAGCATCAGCTCCAGGGACGGCAACCCTGAAACAATCCATAAACGATGACGCACCTCTAGATGCACAAGAACATGCAGATTACAGGAGAGCAGTAGGAAAGCTTCAATGGCTGACCTACACAAGACCAGACATCAGCTTTGCAACAAAAGAACTGGCTCGAGACCTACAACAACCAGCGCAACAAAGCCTACGCAAGGTGAAACACCTTCTGCGATACCTCAGGGGAACGCAACACTACAAAATGATTCTGAGGACAACCCATACACCACAAACAAAGGAACCCATCGACCTCAACATTTATGTCGATGCGGACTGAGCAGGATGCCCAATCGCAAGAAAATCAACAAGTGGATTCATCGTGACAATGATGGGATCCGTGGTACAATTTGGAAGCAGAACACAAGCAGTAGCAGCACTATCATCAGCAGAATCAGAGCTTTATGCAATTGGCACAGGAGCGCAAGAAGGACTACATATAGCAAACTTCATCAAGGAAGCAACAACAACAAAGGTGAACATCTGCATACACACCGGCAGCGCAAGCGGCAAGAGCGTAGCAACAAGAATTGGCTCATCAAAGAAAGCAAAGCACATTGACCTAAAGTACCTCTTCATACAGCAACTGGTACAAAGCGGGATGGTATCAATACACAAGATCAGCACGCATGACAACCCAGCAGACATACTGACAAAGTATGTCCCGGCAGAGGTGCTTAACAAACACCTCTACATGGCGGGCATTCAATGCCCACAACATCACAACTGAACAACGGCCGTACAAACAGTTTCACAACCATGGCAGCGTCTATGCGTGTACAATACACACACGGAGGCATCAAGCCATGGCACACTACTTTAGCTACTATGTGCATACTATGTCGTAGACAATATGTACTACAAGATTTCAGTCTCACAATGGATCCGATCTTTTCTTTCGTCGACTCGTAGAACAATTCGATGAACAATGTGTTTGTAGTTTTGCTTTTCTGAATTTGAAAGACAATGCATGTTCAGTTGACAATTTGTCGACATTCATTTTGACCGCAGCCGCTTCCCAGCTCACGAGCGCTGGCAACCGGGATCGACTATTTCGAGGACAATTTCAAGGGCAACAATGGCCATGGAGATGACGATTCCAGACTACCACAATCAGCGTCGACTTCCCACAAACTCGACAATCTCCTCGTGGGAGGACCGAGCAGTCCTATACAATGAGAACAATATGGAGAAGTCAGAAGATGAAGAAGAGGAGAAAGGGACAAAGCGTCCCAGACAATCTCCAGAAGACAATATGGAGGACACGCAGGGCTAGAACAAAGGTCCGACAATCTGCTGATCTCCGGCAGTGACAATACCCACGTGCACTACGAGCACAACGACGAGAGAAGGCAACAATGCTGGAGAGACAAGAATCAAGAAGCAGAGAAAAGCTGTACAGACTTGCCGACAATGTTTGAACTGCTGTATGTGCAATAGTGTTTCTTTACGGTTTCAACAATGTTTGTATTGATGGTGTGATTCAACAATGAATCAAGCCAAGGGACGGTGTCAAGATACAACCCTTTGTACAATTGCATATTTACTCCATCGTAGTGTTCATGTACAATTGCATGGTGCTATACAACGCACCTTGGATCAAAGGCCTTGAGCCTAGCCTAGTTGAGCCTAAGGACAATTGCAAGAGGAAAACAATACAGTGACGTGCACAAACAAACGGCAATCAAACAGCTGCTGAATTTTACAGGAGGGAGGGAGAGAGAGAGAGAGAGAGAGAGCGAGAGACAGAGAGAGAGAGAGAGGGAGAGAAAGAGAGAGAGAGAGAGGGGGAGAGACTGAAGAGAGAAAGAAAAGACAGAAAAACGAGAGAAAGAACGGAGAAAGACAGAGGAAGGAGAAAGAAAGACAGAGAGAACAGGAAGGAAGGAAGCAGAGACAGGGAGAGGGAAAAAGAGGACAAACTATATGTCTCTCTCATTGTGCTGGATTTTCACGCATTTTCAACTTAGACCGGAAGAAAACTGCAGCGCAACAAGAAGGTTCCCCATGACCAACCCAGCTTGGTCCCTGGCTGGATTTGTTCAACTCTTCTGCTAGTCTTGAACTTGGCTGTAAAAGGAGATCCAGACAAGTTTGCCTAGGCTATTTGCCTACACCTAGATCACGGAAAACTTCCTTTTTTGCAATGGTCGATGACGTTTACCAACGGCAAAGTTGGGCTCTCAGACCCTTTGACGACTCCAAGACAGTGACAACACAACGGAGCTAGTCTAGACCCGACACTCCCCTTGTGCCATGATCGAAACATGATTGACATCAAACTGCTCAAGGCGGGACTTTTGTGAGTGATGGCAATGTTAAATCAAAGGCGTGGCGAAAACTCTTGCAGATACTGAGAGTGCATTGACCAATGAAAAACTTACAGGCCATTGATGATGACAAAGCTCGGGCAACGCTTTGGGAGGACCCGCTTTGCAAAAGCGTAGTGGGTGAAAATGCTCCTGTTGCCTGTTGCCTACCGACCGCTCCGCTTATATCAATTTCTTTTATGGCGGTGCGGGGCCATGTGACCTCACTTCGGAGGGCTCTGATTTGCGCGGAGCAGCAGTTTGGACACTAGCGCAGATAGGTTCAACCACACTGTCGCTTTTGTACAACGCACCATGTGGAGAAGCTTTGGAGGTTTGGAGACCCCATGGCTAGACCATGGAGCGGAAAGCACACGGTGGCACCCTGCACAGGTCCAAAAGAGGAAAACACCTGCCTTAGAAAAGGCAGTCGGATCGGACTCCAAGCAAATTGTCAGAGAATGCATTGCCTATCAAGACTAGACTAGAAAACCATCAATGCTCCGACTATGTACAACTGTTCTAATTTGCATCAATGAGAGCTGTGGCAATTTTAGTATAATAGATAACTTGTTTGGGTGCTGAGAACTTTGATTTTGGTTTCTCTTGCTTATATACTGCTTCACAAACAAGCCAGGTCTTCTAGGGATTTGTATAATGGCTTTCGGGCATGGCCTTCTAACTTGGTTTTGACATTTTCAAGGACTGCTTCCAAGAGTTGTTTTGATTTGGTTGGTGCCAAAGGAAACGTAGCTCTTTGGTCCCAGGAGTTCACAGAAATTTCTGGAGCAAAATGGCCTGAGCCACATGGTTCGCTTCCTGAGCCACAAGATGCCACATCAGAACTCTTGGAGGCATGAAGGAAAAGGAGAGCATTTGCGATGCGGGGAAGAGGTTCATCGGAAGAAGAAGCTCATTCTTTTGTGTGAGCCTTTTGTTCTTTCTTCATACATGTTCACAATTCATAGCCTACTAGTTGCTATTTCCTGACTTGTTGGTGGCTACACATTCAAGAAGCCAGTTTCAAAGTTTTTTGTGCACCCTGGCCATCCCTGGCCCAGCTTGAACACTTAATGCACCTGGTTGCCAATGACCCTCCCTTTTTTTTGCTCACAGTGTTGTTAAGGCACGTGCATAGGTTGCAGGCATCCACTTTCCATCTAATGTAGCAAATCAATGCAAATCAGCCCCACTTGACACAGCCAAATTGATATGAGCTCATTCACCTATTCTGATTCACACACACACACACACGCACACACTCCGCTTGTGTAGGGTAGACACTGCTCTGACACTTGTGAGCCAGCTAGTACAAAAGCTCATATGTGGCTAACCGCCTCTTCACTTCAGCCAAAGATTCGACAAGCAGCTGACTTGACCTGGAACTTTAGGTACTAGTTGTAGCTAGACTGCAGCGACCATGTCGGGCTATGCCAAGCCACGTACCATGCCGATGGGGCCACCTTTGCCTCTACAGGACAAACCCTTCACAGAGCGATGAAGTGTTGTGCAAGTGCAAAACGTTGCCCTGTCTAAGGAGCTCTTGCCAGACAGAATACCAGAGGTGTGAAGTTTGTGAGACCTTTTGCAGATCTTTTGGTTGCACAGGCTTGTAGATAATGTAAGTACTGTACAGCGTGCATCAGCGTTCAATTGATGACCAACAGGCTCCAGCCCTTCCAGAAGCTTCTCCTCTTGGGGGCTTAACCTGTCCCTTAGGCCCAAATGCGCCAAGAGCTTGGCAGTGTGAGTGAGAAGAAGGTCGAGGTGAATTCGGTTTTAATGTGCTTCTTGTGAAAAGTGAACTTACGTCATTTTGGTTCTGAAAGACTTGGGACATTGTCGCACTTAGTTCTGAGGTCACCCACCCTTACGACGCCTCAGTGCAATGGGTCAAACATTTCACCCAAAGGCCAGTGCACCAGTGCTGCAGAGGAACACCAGGGTAGCGGCAAATACGTTATGTACATGCGTGCTGCAGATGTACATTGCAGATGCATAATATGTGCTTGAGGCTTTGGCGATGTCACGCCTTTTTCGGCTGCTTCGAACAAGCTTGGGGGGTTGAGCCTGTGCCTCAGGACTGTACCCAAACACGAAACAACCCGTTCGAAGGCAGTTCTATTCCCCAGAGATCTCATGGAATGTGTTCCATATGGTAGCATAAACCTCATAGCAATGGCCTCCAACCTAATAGCAACGGCCTCCAACCTAGAAGCGATGGCCTGCAACCTAATAGTGATGGCCTCCAACTTGCTCCGCCCGAGGAATACATGGCTTAAGTTTTTGCAATGAGCCATCTACTTTGCAGGAAAAATATGCCTTTGGAACGCAAAAACCCAGATGCAGATGGCGCAAGCCATGTTAGGCGAAAAACTGTGACAACGAAAAGGAAAATAACATGTCGGGGATGGGTTTGGCGCCATGTACTTTTACATTCCGTTTCGTGAGAAACCGCTATAAAAGTTTATGGCCCTGAAAGCAGCAAGCACGACATTAGATGGCGCAAGCCACCTTTTCAATGATGTGTTTCGAGTGGTTTATGTGAAAGGATATGTTTTCTTTTTGTGAGAGCGGTGTTGCGACAAAAATCGGCAAGAGGAAAGGCATGAAAGCACCATAGATGGCGCAAGTGGCAACACTGTTTTATTCCCTTAACGGGGAGTTCACCGCCTCAGAGAGTCGATGAACACACGACTCCAAACATTTGACCGGGGAACCCTGGCCAGTTTCACCGTGCCCATAAGTTCCGGCACGGGGAGTTCGATCTCTTGGCTCCAGGCTGACCGGTGTGTTCTCCCCGTTAAGGGATCAGACACAGGGAGGGGAGACAAAGTGTACAAAAATAACATATATAATTAATTTGTTGTTGATTTTATATAGTTTGCTGGTCAAATTCCATCATTTTCTGTTTTTCCTTGATGTTTGAAGAGTTTTGAGGACATTTCTTAAATTTGTGATTTATTGATTGTTTGTTTTTGCAATTTAAAAGAAATTCGATGATAGATTACTCATTATTGATCAGATTTGGTAAGATTTTAGGCAAAGGAACACATTTCAAGAGCACTTGGGAAGATTATTTTTGGAAACAAGATCATCAACATCACAAGCATCACCAGCATCAACAAACACACACACAACAAGAACTTATTGGAACTTTAAAGGAACTTTGATTTAATAAAAAAGACAAGGAAGGAGATGGACAGGAGAAGTGAAGGAAAGGAAAGTAAAGAAGGACAGGAAAAAGGCACCATAGATAGCGCAAGTGGCAACACCGTTTTTTGGAGAGTGGCTAAAGGAACGTGAAGAAAAGGGCAAGGGAATGGAAAGGGAAGGGAAGGAGCGCCAGCTATTGGCTCAACCATATTATAATTTTTCACACAAGGGTGTTGTGCCATCTACTTGGCTATTATTGTGCACCGTTCTGATAATGGGTCAATGGAGATTGAAGTGCAAGTGCAAGGAAAGGGAAAGGGAAGGGAAAGGCAAGGGAAGGATAGGGAAAGGAGAAATGAATGAAGGAAAGGGCAGAAAAGAAAGGCATGCAAGGAGAAGGAAGGGAGACATGAAGGAAAGGATAGAAAAGGAAAGAGAAAAGAAGAAAAGAAGAGAAGGAGAGGGAGAGGGAGAGAGAAAGAGAGAGAGAGAGAGAATAAGAAAGAAGGAGAGAAAGAGAGTTCAAGAGAGAAGAACCTCAAAAGATTGGAATCCAACAGCAAAAAGAGAGAGAGGTGGTCTACAAAAATCGATATCTTATACTACATTCTCAGACTTTTTTTTGCAGAAGATGGCGCAAGTCTACTGTGAATGGGTGGAATGCCATTTACTATTTATATACGTATATATATATATTCTTTTCCTATGCTTGAAACTGTATGCGTATATATAGTCTTTTATTTTTTAATCACGGTTTTCCGGGTGCGTTTTTGGCACTTTCTGGTGCCATCTACTTGGTTCCGGATATAGCCATCTATTCTGAAGGCGGTGAAAGTCTCTTCCAGATAGTTGCATATCAATATTTCAAGTCGCTTCGTGTTGTCAACCACCCTGGACAGACCCCGGTACAAAAGGACACTCTTGATCTGCTTTTAACTTATCTAAAGATGATTTAAAGGTGATCTCTACTCCAAACTACTCTGAACTCACTCTAAACCCACTGTTGGCAACTCTTTACTACTCTTAACTGCTCTTAACTACTCTTAACTACTCTTGACCACTCTTAACCACTCATAGTTATTTTCTAATCATTTGTATCGACACAAAACAAGCGTTTCCGCTCACCTGGATGTCACTGTTGAGAAGGATTGCTCGTGAACAAATCTTTTTCCCAACAATATTGCAGTTATTCATTTCATCAAGTTTGCCAAAGCCCCTGTATGCAAGATGCGTCTGCTGAGCAATTGTTTGACGCCAGATTTCTTCAATCGGGTTGGGATTGACGAGTTCTGCTTGCTTTTCACAGATTGTTCCCACAGGATGAACACAGGGTGACTGGAAGCCAATTCACAACCCACTCAAAAAGTTAGAGCACCGGGGTCGCAAACCTATCCCCAAGCAGAATAGCTACCCCCCTGGGGCTCCCCTCCACTTGTCCTCCCATAGCTCCCCCAAATGCTCTCAACCACACCTTTGCTTCGACCGTTCCTGTTCCAACCCACGCGTTCAGTGCATCCCCACCCCTCTCAAAACGATAGTTTGGGCGTCCAGTGGTAGGGAATCCGTCCAGGTCTCCGACAGCCGCAAAACAAACGCCTTCGGTCAACCCAACCCCTCTTGACATCCCTACTTCCCCTTTGCCTTCGGCTGGAAAATGGCTCTCAGACGATCTTTGAGAAATGACTTGTTGGGAAGGGAAGGGATACGGATACGGAAAAGAAAGAACACAGCTCCTCAACATGTTCTGAAGTGTTGAGATTTCCAGGGTTGTGGTTGGACGGTCTAGGGGCCTCTCTATAAATGTATTCGTATATATAGTTTTCTTTTTTTTAATTAACGGTTTTCCGGGTGCGTTTTTGGCACTTTCTGGTGCCATCTACTCGGTTCCGGATATAGCCATCTATTCTGATAAAGTCGCTTCCAGATAGTTGCATATCAATATTTCAAGTCGCTTCGTGTTGTCAAGAGTAAAGCTTCAGGCGACATGAACGAGTGGGCCTGGGAAATGGGCAGTCAATGCAGTTCTGTCCTGAGTTTACTTTCCCGAAGTACCAGAAAGTTGCTCACCGGCCTCATCTAGGTGTGCCTTCTGCATGGTCGAAGCCTAGTACAGTTCACAGCAGTGTAAGCAAGCTGAGCTCAGTTTGAAGCTGAGAGATTGGTCACATGCTGTGCCAAACTGTCACTGTGCGATTTGAGACAGTTTCTGCTCAAAAGTGTTTGAGGCCACGGGTGAAGGGTTGATTCCTGGACTGGTAGATGGACAGCGGCTGTCGTCCGTGAAGCCCTGTGCAGTTCTTCCCCCGGCTTTGGGGCTTGTCGTTAGGATCGTCAAGGGAAACTTGCATTTTGCTGAGGTTCCAACTACAGGAGGAAAAGTTGTCGTCAGCCTCCGCAAAGAGGCAAGCATTTGCGTATCCTTTACTGTAATCAATCCTGTTCGGTGCCATCGCAACATGTTCACAGCCCTAACAGTCTTGGACAGGTACCTCAGGGCTTTTGGGATAGCTCTGAGCTCAATGCAGGGTGCTGCAAGCACAAAGCTGGTGTGTTGGACGATCAAAGACGTACCTGATGCCGTGCGAGGATTGGCAATTTTCTTGGTGAATGGCCCGGTGCAAAAAAGACTGACGTTCGATCCCTGGTTGAATTTGCTGCTTGTCGAAATGACTCAAATGCTGAGATTGAGGCCAACAGGTGTCAAACGAGGCAAGAAACTTTGTCTGGAAGACGAAGCCTCAGATCGCTTGGGTCAAAAGAGTCTCAATTCTTGTTGAAGTACCGTTGGCTCCAAAAGTTGGCGCTATAATGTCTTTGTGCCTTGGACTGTACATCACTTCGAGGCCGGCCAACAAAGAAATAACACGCTGTTTGACAGTTTTGCTACTTCCTATTTATAAACACACATGGTCACATGGTTGTGTGTGGATGACCAGTCGGAGTCCGTTTCGCGATCTAGGTTCCTTCAGGCATGGAGCCAGGCGATTACGACGTCCGATTAGCTTTTGGAGAAAAAATCATTCATGGCAACTTGCTCAGCTTTGGTGCTTTGGATGTCTTTGACGAACAATGCGAGTGCAAAGTTAAAAGCGCCCTTCTGTCACTTCAAGGTGCCATACCACTGGCTGTAAGAGATGGAGATGAAGAGGCCACCGTTCAAGGGCTATATCAAGGTATTGCGAGCTCAGAATAGCCCAGACTCCGAGGATGATGAAGACTCTGAAGGGTGAGGCTGCGCGGCGTCGAGCCTGGCACGAAGTCCTCGTGAAAAAGCAAACTACTTAGCCTAGCTTCGAACATCTTCGAACATTTGCCGATCTTCGTTAGAGATGATTTTAGACTTTATCTCGCACCAAATCATGAATCATGCTTTACAGGTAGCTGCCGAGTGCGCATTTTACTAAGAGACCAGAGTCGTCTCTCAATTCAGCGCCACGTCACGACACCACGTTGGAGTCTGCTGCAACCTGCTATCCGAGTTGCTATTCGGTGTGAGACAAGTCCAGCTTTTGACGGAAAGCTGTTGCAGCAGTTTTTGTGCGTTTCACTGAATGTAGAAGCACAATGTGACTCAGCTGACTCTTCCAGACATCAAGACATTTGGAGTAGTTATGCTTGAGTGAAACTATGTGAAACCACATCCAAGCTGTTTCAAGCGTTCTCGGGGTCTTGTCAAGGTCAAGTCAGCCTGGGTGCCTTGTTTTAGCTCAGGCACAGAACTGGCCTCATTTATCCGCTCTCGATTGAGCTTGAGCGAGGCCTTATCAATCAATATGAATGGTTGGTTGGGTAGGGACATATTGAGATGTGAAACATATAGCGGGGATCCTCAATCTTGGATGCCATTTTGGCTCAAGATTGGGGGCTCCCCTCCTTTTTCTTGCCATGCCCGCCATCCTCTCCACTGAGCGGGCTACGTGGAGGGTGGTGGCACGGCGGTGGAGGTGGGGCAAGGGGCAGGGAGGCCAGTGTGCTACCCCGTGAGGAGCGACTGGCCTCCCTGCGTGGCGGACCATGGCGGAGCGCAAGAGGCGGCGGTCCAGATCGAAGGGTTTGGAACCCAAGAGTCGGCCCCGCACTTCCATGAGGTCGACCAGGTCATCCGCCTCGACGCCTTGGGAACCGCCCTCAACATGTCCGCAGACGGCGTGCGCGCCTACCTCATCGAGCAGCTCCGGGGCGCTGAAGCCGGACCAACCCATGGAGGGTATGCTACAGGAGCTGCTGGTCGACCGGCCGATCAACCTCCTCAATCACCTCGTGGACCTGGGAGTCCAGACCTGTGAGGATGTGCATAGCCTGTGGCCCACAGGCGGTGCGCTCCTCGAGGAGTTGGAAGGGCGCCGTGGCTCGGTGTCCGCGGAGGAAGGCTTCACCATCGTCTCCTTCTGGACTTTGGCGTCTCAGAGGGCTCAAGCCTCACAGCGCAAGCACTTGAGGGAGATCTGCATCCACCGCCAGTCGGCAGTCTCCACCTCGGCCCCAGCCAAGCCAGAGGGACCTTCACAGCAGGCCGCTCGGCCGGTGCGCCGCCTTTTGGAGACAGGAGAGGTCAGGGAACCTCCGCTCCTCATGAGCCTTGCAGCCCGAGATCCCTATGTGAAAGAACAAGCAGCCAAGATGGCCAAAACCCAGACCTTGTTCGAGCTCTTGATCCAGGACTTCCTCGACCTGGAGGAATTGGGGGTCTCCCGAACCCAGCTGCAAGATGCCACCAGGATGCAACTCCTCAAGGAGTCTGTTATGCCGGCCGCGGACAGGCTTTCAGTCCATCGCTTGGGAGCTCTGGCGAGCACCTTGCGAAGGTGGCGGGAGTTTGCCCTCAGGTTGGGGTTCGATGTACGGCAACCTACTCCTCTGCAGTTGAGCACCTTCCTCAAGGAGGTGGCACGCGGGGGCCCCACAGCAGCATCCGCTATGTTCCACGCCCTCAACTGGTTCCGGTCACAGTTCGGGGTCCAATTCCCGCTGGACCACTGGATGGTGCGCGGTTACAAGCTGCTTCCTGTGGGACATACCTCGCAACAGAAGCTCGAACTGCAACCGTGGGAGTTCATCAACATGATCCTGAAGCTTCGCCAAAGTTCTGGCACCAACACCTTGGTGCTGGCCTTTATGTTGTGGGCGGCTGTATCCTGCATCAGATTCGAGCATATTCAACGGTCTAAGTTTGACCACCTGGCGGCCAATGCCCTGTTCTTCACATGCTCGCAGGGTAAGGCGCGGCGCCAGGGGGCCCGGCCTGCCTTCCAATGGGCTATGCCTGACATTCCATGGCCAGGGTTCAGCTTGGTCAAGGTCATCCAGGACTTTGTCACCATGGAGCTTCTGCCAGGGTGCAAGTTCTTGTGGCCGGCATTGCAGCTGGACCCGATGGACCTGTGGCAGGTCACGGAACACACCCCTTGGGCTTTGGACCGCAAGCTGTCCAGAGGACGCTTTTTGGAGCTTCTGCGGGGCACCCTCCTTGACCTGGGCACGGCCCCTGACCAAGCCCAGACTGCGGGATTCAACCGTTTGAGACGGTTCCTCCCCACTCTTGGGAATGTGGTCCGGTTGACCCCGGCGGACCAACAGGCCATTGGCAATTGGGTTGAGATCCCCACTGGCGGGGGACCCATCCCCAACCAGAAGTCACGGGCCGCCTGGACTATGGGGACTCATTATAGCGGCCAACGAGCTCTTCATTCGGCCCAGGTGAAGAAGGCACTGCTGAAGCGCTTCATGAGCCTCTACCATGCCAAGAAGGCGGAATTGGCGCTGACGGATGAGGGACTGCACCCCCGGGACAGTTGGACCTGGGCAGAATTCGCTGCCCAGAATGAGCGCCTTGGTGACCTTGGGACTGAGCTCCCGGCACCACCACCGGTTGAGATCGAGCAGGACATGCCCACAGATGATGCCACTGCCAGGGGCTCAGCGGATGTCCAGGACCCCACATTGCCGGTGGACAATGGGCCAGAACCGGAACCGGAAGCAGCTGACAACGAATCCGTCACGGATACCTCCTCGAACTCCTCAGAATCAGCCTCCGATGTGTCCAATGAAGCCAGCGATTTGGAGGGCGCCCTCTCTGACGATGACGTGGCCGTGTCCACGCATTGGATGGTGCAAGGGGCCAAGGTTCACATCATCCGAGGGGAATCGGACGGACGTCTGCTGCCGTGGTGCCGCGACGCCCCGTTCTCCCAAGATCCGCGATCGACAGGAGAGGGCTTCTCCTTAGTATCGCGCCAGCGTTTCTGCCAACGATGCTTGGCTCGCACGCCCAGGGGATTGTACCGGGCGCTGGCGCGGCATTGCGGGTGGCTGAACTAGCACATCCCCGCGTGTGGTATGAAAAAGCTGCCTCGGTCCGCCCGGCTGGAGCCCATCGTTCGATCACACAACCTCGTCGACGTGTGTGTGGGGTGGGGTCGGGTTTTGGGGTCAGTGACGAGTTGATGGGTAGCTCATCGCCTGTGCTCCGGGACCACGGGGACCCGCCGGCCGCCGTCGATCGAAGGTTTCTCCTTTTCGCGTTTGGGCAACCCCCCTTAATCCACCACCCCCGCGTAGGAGGGCGAGGGTGAGAGAAAGGGTCCTCGGGTTACGCGCGTTTGTGATGTGTCTTCGACACCGCAACCATGGCCCAACTTCTGCAACAGCCCAGTTTTTCAATCGCTCGATCTCAGAGTGCAGCGCCCCTGAGTGGCCCAGTGTGCTCTGGGTTTCCCAGCACCTGCTAGACCCTCGGAGCCCTGCCATGAGCCGTGGACACCAGATTGATACTCTCCAAGATGACCGTGGCTTAGCTGCTTGTCTCAGTGGCTCCAACGTCCTCCCAGAGTGGGCTGACGCCGTGATCCGTGCACATAAATGGGAGACCTTGGAGGACTTCATTTTCTCTGTGGACGAAAAGGACGTCACGGCGGCCATCCATTCACTGTTGGCGCCTACACCCTTCAAGGACAACCGGCTGACACAGGCTCGCCTGCGTGCGGCCTATTCAGCAGGGGCGGAGGCCATCAAGCAAGCGGCCCAGGCTGCTAAGTCATCTGAGGGGGTGGATGACCCACTCCCGGAATCCACCATGGAGCAGCTCAACCGCGACTTCAGATCCAAGTATGCTCTCATCGTGGAGGCTACGCTGGAACCCAGTGACGCTCTGAGAGCCCGGGTTTACAGAGAATTCAGAAAGAGGACTATGTCGGTGGTACCAGCCTCTCGCATCAAGTCAGTCCTTCACCAGGCTACACCACGGCAACAAGATGCGGTGAAACTAGGAGAAGGCATCCAGCTTGAATTCCACACGGAGGAGGCCCGCTCTGTTCGCACTGTAGTCGACTACTACTGGTCGCTCCGTACTTTGGCCTATGCATGGGCGTGGGCAGGGTTGCACCAGCAGCGGGGACATGATGGTAAGGAGACAGTCTTTATCTCCCTTACCGCTGCCCTGAACTACGCTGACCACGCGCTCTCCAGTGCCATGGAATTCGGCCAGGGCTCCAGGTTGTGGTTGGAGCGCAACGACCTGCTGACACGTACCAAGATGGCAAGTTACATTCGGCAAGGTTACAATGGTTGGGAAGCACTTCAAGAGGCCTTGCGTGAGACTCACCTTGAATGGCGCGCCAGTGCCATTCAGGCCGTCCCCAATGAGCCTGCAGGCGCACCCAAACGAGCAGCCCCGGGTGCCAGTGAGGCTGTGCCTCCTGCACCCAAACGGCGCCAGATCAAGCAGGATTCGTACCAGACCATCTCTATGTTGAAAGGGGGCCTGAAGTTGTGTAAGCCTTGGAATGATGGACGCGGTTGTGCAAACACGAAGTGCCCGCAGGTTCACAAGTGTGATGTCAAGCTGCCGACAGGTAAGCCGTGCCAGGGACCCCACACCAGGCTCGAGCATCCGAGCGAATAGGGACATCTCCCCCTGGCAGCCTGTGAGCTGCGGGGGGTTGAGCATCCAGCGCAGCAGAGGGATACCACGGCGCCACCTCAGGGGGCCGTGCGACAGATCACCTTGCGCGAGCCTATGGAGCTCACCCCTTCGGCTTTAGCTACCCGCTTGGTCGGGGCAAAACCGGTGACATGGCGTGGCAGAGGAGACCTGCCACAGTTCCCTTGGGGTATATCTATTCGAGGTACTTGGCTGGTATTGGACCTCTGGGCGGGCATTGGTGGACTGTGCATTGCATTGCTTGCCCTCGGTGTTCACATCTACGCAATCAGCGCTGAGAGTGACCCGGTGGCTAGTGCCGCTGCACAGGCTGCAATGCCTAATTTGGTGCATATTGACTCAGTTGAGGAACTCAAGGGAGCGGACCTCCGCCAGTTCTTGCAACGGCGCCAAGTACGGGGCATCATCCTGG